GGGGGGTATGCCTGGGGTGGCAGCAGCAATTGTTGTGCCATCAGTGCAGTTTGCACCACATATGGTTGTGGGCCTCTTTGGGGGTATGCAGTGCCCATTGGCATCATGGGAGGTTGTTGATTTGCAGCACTGGTTTGCACCATGTATGCTGTAAAGTTCATGGTGCTTTGCTGCACCTCATGTTCTTGTTGGTTCGAGGAGCTTTGCTCCTTGGGTTGTTATACCTTGATCTCCAGCAGTTTGTTCAGGTCATATTGGGATTGACTCCCCCAGAGAATGACATTCTGTCATTTGTTTCTCATGGTGGTGGGGGAAGTTGGTGTCCTTGCATGCATGAGATTTGCTGCAAGAGTGTATTGAGGTGCATGCAATCCTGTGGTGGGGTTCACATGGTCTGGGCAACAATGTTGCCTAGCCCATGTGACATCTAATTGTTGGAATTTGCACGTGGTCTTTTAGGGAAACCTAAAAGTTGGACATACTGGGAATCGAACTCCAGTCCTCTGGATCATGAACTCAGTGTGCACAGCCATTACACCATACACCCCATTAGGCTGAGGTAGTTATTTCAACACTAATCACATGGGTGGGACTTTGGGTGGCTGTCTGGGAGAGCTTCTCAACTGGCCTTGGGACTGTGGCTGTGTCAAAAACCCCACACCAGGGGAATGTTAGAACAGGCGGATTCGGATGACTCCGGAGTGGAATCGGAGAATTAGCATGGAAGGACCTCGGCCTCAGCGACTCAGGTGGAGCGCTGTGCCATTGCTGGTTGTCGTGGGGGTCCCTAATTTCGGATCTAGCAGAGGGAAAGTCTCTAGGGGGCATTTCAGGTCGATTTCGGACTGAGGTTACAAGTTACTATGTACATTGTATATAAGGAGGGGTCCGGAATCAAAAGGAGCAAGGGTACTCCGAAAGGAGACAAAGGGAGCTGAAAGGAGGGACAACACCGAGGGTCAAGGGTTTGACTCAATGGTGTTTCCCAAAGGAGGAGTGAAGGGCCAAGGCCCAAGGAGGAAGGAGGGAGGATGGGAGTGGGGAATGGCCAGCTGACTGAATAGAAAGGAAGCAGCAGCCCAAATAGGAATGAGGGAGTATAGCGGAATTGAATGGAGCAATGCAATAGTTGCAAGGTCCGACATAAGTCCGGAAAGTCCGAACTCGGAAGTTAAACTCCGGAATATTGGCAAACATAATTAAATGGAATGAGCTAACCAATACAATGGGTATAAGTGGAGGTGGGGTCAAAGTCCGAGGTCAGAGGTAAGACTGGAGGTTCCAGAGACAGAGATGCAAACAGGATTCCGGAGCGGAGGTCTGGAGTCAGGATGTTACGGATACGGAGTCTCCAACGACCATATCCGTCACATGGTCAAAGACCTCTCCTCACTATCGTTCCTCCTTTCTTTCTCCCTTCCATCCTCTATCCCGATACTCTATCCTCCTTACCCGTTCTACCCCTTTCCCCCCCCTCGTGCAAAGCTTTCCCCAACTGGGGTTTTGGTGCTGGCCAAGGTTATTTGTGTTTCGCGGGATTTCCCACGACCTTACCATTTGTAGATAGTCACGCGTCATGTACGGAAACCGCCGAAGGCGGTTCCCGCTAACTAACAACTGCTCTACAACTGCTTCGTGTACCGTCTTCTGTAACAACCCTCCCTGTGACTCAACTGAACTCGTGTGACTGTACAACTCTCAATATGTCTTATAAGTCTGGGTATATCGAGTCCTCTAACGGCCCTCGCCGCGAGAACTCGAGGTCGAGAGTCGAAGACTCTCGACATGTGTATCGTCCTATTGAATCTGTACCCTATGGTTCTTCATCACTACGCTCTCCCCCCAGTACTCAACATACGACATCCCATCACGATCATAGTGATCGCGAACTCTATGAGGCCCCCTCACCTGCGATGCCGGCACGTTCGCTACGCGAACGCCAAGTAGCCGCCCATCTGCCGTCTGTTACTTCCTTTGCCAGTCATCATGTGTCCCCGCCAACGGTACGTTCCCCTTGGGAACGCCAAGTCACCGAAGGCCCTAATAGTCAGTCCTCATTACACGCCTATGATATCAACCCGCTACCGGTACGTTCGCACTGCGAACGCCAAGTACCCGATGGCAACTACACGAGGTTCTCGTCCATCCTGCAAGTTGTAACCTCGCACACGGTACGCTCCATTGAGGAGCGCCAAGTACCCGTGGCTGGCCCATCTGTCCTGGTATCTCCGACTACATATCATCAACCCCTTAATAGCTCACTACATCACCCATCGCGATCGATGGGAATTCGATCGTCCACTCCCGGGCAAGACTCATCGATTACACTTCCAGTTATGGTACAAACTATACATGACCCTCGTCATCCCACTATAAGAACGGATCGAGGAATGGGGAATTTCCCCATCCCCGTAACACAGGAGCATAGGTGTTGCATACTCATCTGGAAGGTGTCGAGGTTGGGGTTGGACCCGGAATGTTCCGGAGTCGGACCAAAGGTGGTGTCAGAGCCGGAGGTGGGATAACCTCTTGGAAGTCGGCAAGGAGAAGGTGATGGAAGGGAAGTAGGGCCCCGGAGTAGTTTCGGAGTTATGGGAGCCCGGAGTGGAGGTCGGGATTGTATGGATATGACAGGGAAAGAGTGTGAGTCCAAATGCAGGCAGGGCTCAACTAGAGGGGATCCAAGAGCTCCAGTAGTGAACCAAAGCTTCTCCAGGAAGCCCAGGTCTGCTGGGTGGTACAAGAGGCTCTAAGAAGGACACGGCCTCAGCGACTCGGAGGGAGCGCTGTGCCTCCATTACATCTCAGTTAGTCCTTATATTTTATGTGTCTGAGGTATCTTGTAGGAAGAGGTCAGGATTCACTCATAGAGGGACTTGGGGTAACTTTTAGTTGAGATTAGAACTGGGGTACAATGGGTTCTAATCTACAAGTATTTATATATGGAGGAAGGAGAAGGACTTTAGTCAAAGTCCAAGTGATAATGGAAAACACTGAAAGGTGCCAAATGATACCGAAAGGTCCCGAACGATATCCTTAACGGGGAACTGAGGTGTCGGGTCAAGAAGGGCAGAGTAAAGGCCGGAGGATGAATGGGAACGAGAAATGGGTAAGAGGAAGTTAGCCGACTGAATGGAAAGAAGACAACAGTCGTACTATAAATGGAAGGTGACTAGTTTGTGATGACATGAGTGGGATCACCGGAGGATGCAGGTAGCTCCGAAGGCAGAGTTACGTATCCGAAGGATGTTGGGTGACTCCAATAAATGAAATGGGAGGGGAATGGTTTAGAGGTGTGTCACAGGATGTCGGAGATCTGTCGGGAGGTCGGAGCAAATCCGGAGTCTCCAAATGTTCCAACTTGGGACCGAGCTTCTGGGATGGGAGTGGCCATGGTAACGTGTGCCACAAACCAGGCCGGAGCTGAGACAGTTGGGAAGGAAGGTGACTTGGGAAGTGGGGAGTTATGGTGTAGGGGATGATGAGGTTGTTAGGAAGGTGTGATGAGGTGGGAGATTACAGGGTTGGGATTCTGGGATATGACAGGCTGTGCGAAAGCTCGTCTGTGTCAGGGCACACCTGCCTGACCCGGCTCCACCTGGCCCCACCTGACCCGGTACCCCACTGTCCACCCCTCCTCACCTCCTCCCTCTTTTCCTTTCCCTCTCCTCATTCCTGCTTCCTCACTTTCTTCCTATTATTTTCTCTTTATTCTACATGGATGACCTCTCTTTGTACCAATGTACCATTGACCCATTCACAGCACACCCATGACACACCCAGCCTGGGCACCTTGGGTGACTTCCTGCTGTGCCCAGCACACATGCTTGCACCGGATGCCCTTGGGATCTCCCACAGAGACACCTGGGTGGTTACGGCTGTGTGCGAGGGTGATGTGGCATCTGTCATGTGACCCAAGCCGCATGTATATAAACATACCTGAAGTGGGAACCAAAGAAGTAGCCTTCTTCTCATCTTTCCACTTAAGTAGTATAGCATCCCCCTTTTAATAATCTTTCCACTTCAGTCTAAGTGGCCAGGGACTGTGTAAGGGATTAACCTTACTTCACTATAATTCCGATTATAGTGATATTTATATTATGTTGCATCGCTATAATTCCCATTATAGTGATGCTGTTCTTTCTTTATTTATTTGTGCCGAGATATGTAAATTACATATATATACCTCGGAGTAGTTGTAAAGGCCTGGTAGCCTTTTACCTCTACCCCGTTGAATATACAGCACATTTAAGCTTATATTTAGACAGACTAACTGAGGCCTGAGGCGAACAGGGGAACAGAACGTTACCGTCCCCAAAATAGTAAGCAACCTTTCAGACTGTTGTCCCACATCAGGCCTGTCAGTACGCACGCCCGATCCACCCCCTGCCAGGCTCTCAGTGCCGGATGCTACACCTGGGCCTCCTTGACCCCGGATGAGTCCCTGACAGTCTGGCCATGCTATTCTATGCAGGTTTTCACCCCTCAATGAGATTTACCCAACAATGATTAATCACAACACAACACTCTCATTTCTTCACTTTTAGGAGTGAGTTTTGGTATGTGTATGTATAGTTGCTAGGACTACCAGTACACCGAGTTTGAGGTCAAATGGACATGAAATGAAAGAAAAAATCCAGAAAACATAAGGAACATTATTGCCATTTGCAAAATTCGAGGCAAACTCCGAAATTCAAAATTCCGCAAAATCTTTCGCATCACTGCTCACTCAAAACTCGACCGATTTTGGCGATTTGACATGCATTGGAAAGCGTCCAAGTAGCGCTTCATGATTGTTCGGATGGCGCAGCAATATGAGAAGATTTTTTTTCTTGCCGATTTGCACATGAACAGTGGAATAGTATCGTGATTTGAGTGCAATGTTGTGCATGCATGTCCTTTATTTAGCACTTTCTGAACATCACAACATTAATATTAGATTATGGAGGCAATGGACATGACATTGGCACTGGGGATGAGTCTGAAGTACAGCCACCAAAATGCGCGACAAATTGGTAAATCATCTGAGTTCGGATTCTCACAACTGTACAGTTCCGCCTCTCTTCTTACTCCCATCTACATGTCCACATGGTCACAACAAGAGGAATGCGACGGGCAGTGGATGTGCCACCACCGAGCGAATCTGATCCCACCGCCACTCACGCAGTAGTGACTGTGGCTAAGCCCATGGTGAATCAGAAACAACATGGTAGGCGTCGAAAAGAAATGCCACCGCCTGAGATCATCAACCCCCTTCCTGTGGGCCTGGTGGTTGAGGAACCAAGTGAGCCCCAGGTTGTTTCCTCGGTTCCTGCCCTTGTTTCCCCCATTCTCGCCCCCATTTCTCCTATTCTCGCCTCTGCCGCTGACCCTCCCATCGTGAGGAAGACCAGAAAGCCGCGCACTAAAGCCAAAGCAATTGAGGCTGACCAAACAGAGCAGATCGGCATTCCAGAGTACACATTTGCGGTTGCAAATGCGCGAATAATTCAAGAAATGCCTAAGGCACCCAGCAGTCCTGCCACTTTGGGCGCAGTTAACCCAAAAGAAGTTATAAATGTCAAGCACGAGAACAAAAAGCTGCAAGTTGCAGCGAAAGTTTCCGCAGTCATTCCTGACTCCGATTATGCGATGATGAGTGAACTTGAAGATCTATCTAGTGATGAATCTGAGATCACTGGTGCGCTGGGCACAGACGATGCTCCGGCGCTAGTCCAAGAGGAGGCAGTTGAAGGTGAGTGCCAATTCTCATTCCTCACCCCGCTGAGACTGGTGTCATTCATGTTTACCTACTCCTATAGACTACATTATAGACTTCGAAGTTGAGACTGACGATGTCGTCAAACTTCTTCGACTACCCATATCTATGTCATGGTGGACATTCCAGGATCAGATTGCCGAGACAATGGGCTGCCATGAGACCCGGCTACGCTTGGGCTATAGGCTCAGCACTGCAAGAGCGGGAGAGAAGGCACACAGCCTCGAGACACTGGACGAGTATTCCGAAATGCAACAAGAAATAGTCTCAGAATGCGAGAAACAGGTGGTCCTCCAGAAAAAGGCGTCCAAGATGAAGCCTCCGAAGGCGTTGAAAGTGTTGATTAAGGACAGGCGAAATAAGGCTGAAAAAAAGGTGTGAGAGTAGATAGATGTTCAAGAATCTCATGCAACACTAATGCTAACAAATTTGTAAGACCATCGCGAAACCAAAAACCGCCTCAAAAACTTCTTGTGCTAAGCTCAACAATAGTGCCGATCCAGACTTGGTCGAGTCCACATCGGCAACGTATATGCGGCAACTCACAAACAAATATGGCAACTGTAATCAACATGGAGGGGAATCCTGTTTTGTCCGGCCTGATGGGACTCATCGGCACTTGACCATTGCAGAGCTCACTTTGTGGGCAATTTCCATCGTAAGTCTGATATTGGTTTGCTTGCTATGTAAAACTTATGAATACATAGGAATTGCACTGTGCAACCCTCTCAGTTCCTCCTGACTTGCTCAAACTTTCAAGTGAGAATGATACTCGTCCACCCAAACCCAGCAAGTCTAAACAAACACCTGGTGCGACATCCGGTTATCTGTCAGGGCACACCCGCCTGACCCGGTTCCACCCGGGCCCACCTGGGCCCACCTCACCCACTCACCCGCTTCCCGCTACCCATCCTTCCTCCCTCTTCCCCTTTCCTCCCTCTTCCCTCTTTTCTCTTCCTCCTTTATTTCACTCTCCCTTTCTGTTTATTCTTTCTATTTACACGGACCACCTTCCCTTGTATCATTGTACTGTTGACCCGTCCGGCTTGGACACCCCGGGCGACCTCCCGCTACGCCCAGCATGCGCGGATGCCCTCGGGATCCCCCGCGGGGATACCCGGATGGCTGCGGCCTTCTCCGCGGATGACGTGGCACCCGTCACGTGACCCAAGCCGCATGTACATAAATGTACCTGAAGTGGGAACTGAAGAAGTAACCTTCTTCTCACGTTTTCCACTTCAGGTAAGTAGTGTAGTTCCTCCTTTTAATAACAATTCACATTTTCCACTTCAGTCTAAGTGGCCAGGGACTATAGTCCCAGATCGGGCCCGTCAGTACGCGCGCCCGCTTCGTCCTCCGAGAGGGTCCCTCTGCCGGGCGCTACAGCCGGGCCCCCTCCACCCCGGACACGTCCCTGACAGCAGAAGAAGGTTTCAACCTCGTCTCCCCCGCCTCCCCTATCTCCCCTGCCTCCCCAGCCATGGTGTCAGAAGAGCAGTATGAGGAGCTGCTAGCTCGCTTCCAAGAGCTCCAAGCCATTGTGGAGAACCAGGCCCGCAACCATCCCCCACCCCCACCTGCTCCAGCACCCGCTCCCGCGCCAGCCCCTGCACCCGCTCCCGCGCCCAGACCCAAACCACCCAAGGTCGCCCCCCCACTCCCTTCTCAGGAGCCAGCGAGGACCTGGACCGCTTCAAGGCCGAGTGCGGGATTTACTTCCACGTTCGCGTGGCTGAATTCCCCACCGCCCTCTCCCAAATTCTTTTCGTGCTGTCCTACATGAAAGGAGGACCTGCAGGGGCATGGGCAACGCAACGCACGATCACGTTGCTGACGGCCGGATCCCCCTCCCTCACCATGGACGAGTTCAACACCGAACTCGACGCCATGTTCCAGGACCCGAACCGGGAGGCCACGGCCAGACAGAAGCTGGCAGCCATCCGACAGGGGAGCGACTCTGTGGACAAGGTCATCCAAGAGTTCGAGATACTGGGGCCCGCCTCGAGGCTGGGCGATGTAGGACTGGTTGACCGCTTCAAGCAGGCCATTAACTCCCGCCTCCGGGAGAGCATATACCGGCTCCGCCCCATGCCCACTACTTGGGCAGAGTGGAAACGCGAGGCCACCCTCCTAGACAACCAGTGGTGACGCTTCCAAGCCACCCAACCGCGTGCGTTTCCACCTAAACCCCCGCTCCCGTTAACCCGACCCCTGCCGACCGTGACCCCACCTCACACACGACCCACACCCACGCCCCTCGACTCGCACCCGCTCCCCCACCTCCTACCCCAGCAGCCCGCCCCACAACGGGAGCGGGCCCACAGCCAATGGATCTCGACCGCTCAAGAACTGACCAGAGGCGGTGCTACAACTGTAACACCCCAGGGCACATCCAGCGAGACTGCCCACACCCCAAGGTCCGCCGGGCATGACGCCTCCACCCTGAAGACCTTCGGGCGCTGATGGAAGGGCTGAAAAGGCAGTTGACTGAAGGACCAGAGGCAGAGGAAGCAGAGCCGGAAACAGAGACTCAGGGGGATTTTCAGGAAGGCGACCGGTGAGGGATGCGTCCCGGCCGCCCGTAGAGGATAGCTCGTGTAAATACCGCAGTGTGCGTAAGGCAGCGCCAATGCCAAAACTTCACCGAGTTATCGCAAAGAAAAAGAGGAAAACCGCATCCTCAACCCGTGAGAGTAGAAGGACCACAGAGGGAATGCCCGAAGTGGCAGTATCCCCGCCCGCTATCTACGTTCTTTCCAAGCAATCCCCCCGGTCCCTTAACCTCACGGTCAAACTGACCACCCTAACCTCACTCGCGTCAGTGTCTGTATCGGCCCTCCTGGACTCAGGAGCCACCGGGAACTTCGTGAGCCCCGAGTTCGTCCGGAAGCACAAGCTTGAGACAACCCCACTCCCGCAACCTATCCCCGTCCGTAACGTCGATGGGACCCCGAACGAGAATGGAGCCATAACTGAGGAGCTGGAAGCCCTCCTGACGTTCGGGCGGCACACAGAGCGAGCCCGCTTCGCGGTCGCAAACCTCGGGCGGCAATCCCTCATCATTGGTCACTCGTGGCTGCTACACCACAACCCAGAGGTGGACTGGGCACGGCAGAAGGTCGTCATGTCTCGCTGCCCGTCCTCCTGCAGACAGCCACAAGCACGAGAGGACCAAGACCCTGCCCTAGAGCCGGGGGATGGGATCTACACTGCAATCATCCCCCCAGGCTGGGGACACGACCTAAGAGCCACCACGACCCCCTCTCAGCGGATGGCCCAGGAGGCCCGCGACCCGGGCGCAGAACCCGCATCGTTTGAGACGCTAGTGCCAGAGCACTACCAAGACTTCCGGGACGTGTTCTCGAAGGAAGCTTTCGACCAGCTTCCCCCCCGGAAGCCCTGGGACCACGCCATAGACCTGGCACCAGATGCCAAGCTGCCCAGGGGAAAGACCTTCCCCCTCTCACGGCCGGAACAGAAAGAGCTGGACGAGTTCCTGCGCGAGAACTTGCAGAACGGGCGCATACGACCGTCCAAGTCCCCAATGGGGGCACCAGTCTTCTTTGTCAAAAAGAAAGACGGGTCACTACGCCTAGTACAGGACTACCGGAAGCTGAACGAGATTACCGTAAAGAACTCGTACCCACTCCCGCTGATCTCAGACGTCCTCGCCCGCCTCCGGAGCGCTAAGTACTTCTCCGCCCTGGACCTACGCTGGGGGTTCAACAACGTCCGGATCAAGGATGGAGACGAGTGGAAGGCAGCGTTCGCAACCAACCGAGGGTTGTTCGAGCCCATGGTAATGTTCTTCGGGCTGTGTAACTCCCCCGCAACCTTCCAAACGATGATGAACGATATCCTCAGGGACTTCATCGACCAGGAGGTCGTCATTTGCTACATGGACGATATCCTCATCTTCACGGCTACCCTAGAGGAGCACCGGAAGGTCGTCCGAGAGGTCCTGGAAACGCTACGGAAGAGGAGGCTATTCCTGAAGCCGGAGAAGTGCAAATTCGAGCGGACCCGGATCGAGTACCTCGGCCTCGTCATCTCGGAGGGTAGCGTTGCGATGGACCCCGTAAAGGTCCGTGGAGTCCTTGACTGGCCCACCCCAACCAAGGTGAAGGAGGTGCAGTCCTTCCTGGGGTTCGTAAATTTCTACCGCCGGTTCATCAAGGACTTCTCTGAAAAGGCACGCCCGCTCCACAAGCTGACCCGGAAGACCCAGGCTTGGAACTGGGGCACGGACGAAGACAATGCCTTCCACGCCCTTAAGGAAGCTGTCACCACTGCCCCAGTCCTCTCCTTCCCCACTGACTCGGGTCGTTTCAGGCTCGAGTGTGACGCCTCCAACTTCGCAACCGGTGCAGTTCTCTCCCAGCTCCAACCCGATGGGGAGTTCCACTCGGTGGCGTTCATGTCCAAGAGCTTCACGGATGTGGAGCGTAACTACGAGGTGTACGACAAGGAGATGCTCGCGATCGTCCGGGCTCTCGAAGAGTGGCGACACTTCCTAGAAGGTGCAGAGGAGAAAGTCGAGGTCTATACCGACCACCGTAACCTGGGGTACTTCCGGATGGCCCAGAGGCTGAATCGACGCCAGGCTAGGTGGTCCCTCTTCCTCTCTCGCTTCCACTTTACCCTTGTCCACCGTCCCGGGAAGCTCATGGGAAAACCGGACGCACTCTCCCGTCGTGCTGACCACCCGAAAGGGAAGGACGACAACGAAGGGCTAACCCTCCTCCAACCAGCCTGGTTTGAGGCTCGTGCAACAGAGGGAATTTCGGTAGAAGGAGAGGAGGTAGGAATTCTAGAGCGGATACGCAAAGCAAAGGACCACGACGAGAAGGTGGTAAAGGCAATGCGAGAGCTGGGAGAAGGGACGCTAAGGTCGGACGAATGGGAGAGGCAGGGTGAACTAGTTCTGTACCGGGGGAGGGTGTACGTCCCTAAAGACCCCCAACTCCGCCATGATCTTGTGCGGCTACACCACGATGCGCGGGCGACGGGACACCCAGGGCGATGGAAAACCCTGGAACTTGTCTCCCGTGACTACTGGTGGCCCCGGATGGCAGAGTATGTCGGGCGGTACGTACGCGGGTGCGACACCTGCAACCGCGTCAAATCTTTCCCCTCACGAAAAGTTGGGAAGCTCACCCCAAACAAGGTCCCCACCCGCCGCTGGCAGGTGATCTCAGTAGATATGGTGGGAGAGCTCCCAGAGTCCAAAGGCTATAATGCCATCTTGGTGGTAGTAGACCGCCTGTCCAAGCGTATCCACGCGGTCCCCACCATGACGACCATAGACTCGGAGGGTATCGCACGGCTCTTTCTAGAGCATGTCTGGAGGCACCACGGGCTCCCAGAGGAGATCCTCAGCGACAGAGGGAGCGCCTTCGTCTCCCGCTTCTCGAAAGAGCTCGCGGACCTTCTAGGCGTCAAACTGACCCCTTCGACGCCCTACCACCCCCAGACGGACGGACAGACTGAGCGGGTCAACCAAGAGATCGAAGCTTATCTCCGGGTGTTCGTCAACCACCGACAAGACGACTGGGCCGATTGGCTTCCGCTGGCGGAATTCTCCTACAACAACCGCATCCACTCATCCACCCACCGAACCCCTTTCGAACTTGACACCGGCCAACACCCCAGGATGGGGACAGAGCCCACACGCACGTCCGAGGTGGAAGCTGCTGACGCGTTCTCATCGAGAATGATGAAAATGCAAGAGGAGGCGAAGGCCGCACTGGAACACGCAGCGGACGAGATGGCCCGTTACTACGACCGAGACCGCGAAACAGCCCCAAAGTACCAAGAAGGCGACCGAGTCTGGCTCAGCGCGCAAAACTACACGACTGACCGCCCAACCAAAAAGTTGGACCACAAATGGCTCGGCCCCTTCAAAATCGTCAAAGTCGTCTCCCCTGCTGCCGTCAAACTCCAACTTACCGCACGCCAGAAAGGAATCCACCCGGTTGTATCCGTAACGAACGTCAGACCACACCGCCCGGACGATATCCCAGAACGACCCACTGACCCCGCCCAGGTCCGGAACTTGTAGATGGAGAAGAAGAGTACGAGGTGGAGAAGGTATTGGACTCTAAGTGGCTACGCCGGAAACTCTGGTATCTGGTAAAGTTCGTTGGTTGGCCAAGCTCAGAGAACCAATGGCTCCAACGGGACCACTTAGCCCATGCCCCCGACCGGATCGAGGAATTCCACAGGACGCACCCCCAAGCCCCAGGGAGAGAAAGAGAGAACCATCTGGCCGCTTCGAGGCGAAGCGGCTTAAGGAGGGGGTGATGTCAGGGCACACCCGCCTGACCCGGTTCCACCCGGGCCCACCTGGGCCCACCTCACCCGCTCACCCGCTTCCCGCTACCCATCCTTCCTCCCTCTTCCCCTTTCCTCCCTCTTCCCCTTTCCTCCCTCTTCCCCTTTCCTCCCTCTTCCCCTTTCCTCCCTCTTCCCCTTTCCTCCCTCTTCCCCTTTCCTCCCTCTTCCCCTTTCCTCCCTCTTCCCCTTTCCTCCCTCTTCCCCTTTCCTCCCTCTTCCCCTTTCCTCCCTCTTCCCCTTTCCTCCCTCTTCCCCTTTCCTCCCTCTTCCCCTTTCCTCCCTCTTCCCCTTTCCTCCCTCTTCCCCTTTCCTCCCTCTTCCCCTTTCCTCCCTCTTCCCTCTTTTCTCTTCCTCCTTTATTTCACTCTCCCTTTCTGTTTATTCTTTCTATTTACACGGACCACCTTCCCTTGTATCATTGTACTGTTGACCCGTCCGGCTTGGACACCCCGGGCGACCTCCCGCTACGCCCAGCATGCGCAGATGCCCTCGGGATCCCCCGCGGGGATACCCGGATGGCTGCAGCCTTCTCCGCGGATGACGTGGCACCCGTCACGTGACCCAAGCCGCATGTACATAAATGTACCTGAAGTGGGAACTGAAGAAGTAACCTTCTTCTCACGTTTTCCACTTCAGGTAAGTAGTGTAGTTCCTCCTTTTAATAACAATTCACGTTTTCCACTTCAGTCTAAGTGGCCAGGGACTATAGTCCCAGATCGGGCCCGTCAGTACGCACGCCCGCTTCGTCCCCCGAGAGGGTCCCTCTGCCGGGCGCTACAGCCGGGCCCCCTCCACCCCGGACGCGTCCCTGACATTATCCTCCACCACCAATTCCAGGTGCCATGTGGCCATATCCCACAGGATTTGCACCGTTCAATACCGCTGTGCCTCAGGCATATGCAAGTCACGACACAGGTGTAAATCCCGGTGCAATTCCAATCCGTCAGTTCGCATTTTAGGATGATCTCATGTGTTGCTCACTGTTGCTTCTGTTTATAGCGCTAAATTTATGCTACATGTCAATTGAAAGACTCCTTGAAGTGCTTGATGAAGAAGAACTGCCGCCAAAATCTCACCTCGCGATGAAGTACAAAGAGCAGTTTGCATCACACGGCTTTCGCACCATCTACGATTTGACTGATACCGATTATCTCAGCCCCAAAGTACTCAGTGAACTCCTTGAGCCTAAACCCCCCTTTGCGACCTGTGTATGCATTATATGGCGTGCGAAGGATGAAGTACAACTCAAGATGCTTATTTGTCTGGCGATAGGTCGGTTCTCATCTAGTACTTGGTTTCACAACCGCTTCACACCCTCAGTTCCCCATTCACACTCTTTTCCCATGCAAATATATACCTTTCATGTAAATACCTTGCATTTCTCATTTAGTTCGTGCTCCCCAGGTGGCGGATGATGTTTAGTAATTATGACCAATCACGTGTTACAAGCCTTGCCTGCGCACTGTCACAAGCAAGGGGACATCGGAGCCACAACTCCACACCACCTCAGCCATCATCCTCCATTTCACATCATGTATCACACAGGCCCTGATGGGATGGGCGATAGCCTTCATGGCCATGAGTTCGGAGGTGCCACACAGGCGGGTTCATCAATAGCTCATGCCCGCTCATCCTCCATAGCATCGACCAGCTCCCGTCACCACTTGAAAGGCTACCAGACCCCGTCCTCTTCATCGCTAAACCTAACTAGCCATTTTATGTTGCGAAACCGGTCTCATACCCCAGATCCTCTTCCCTTAGCCACGTCACCCACCTTGTCGACGTTTTCAAGTCCGTCTCACATGGCGGTTAGCTTTGCAACCTCATCCCGCCCATTGATTACCCCTCCCCCTACGTCTCCGCCTCGCCCTCGTAGGCATTTGTGCAAGAAGTCGCGTCCACAAGATTTCGACCCCAATGCTGCGAATTCCTATTCTGGCGATTCGTCAGGATTGCGCTCATACACTCCCTTCAGCTGTGTCGATGAAGATCAAGATCAACCGTTATTCGATGATATTCCTGAGGAGCGTGTATCGGGTACCATCACTCCATTACCGGTGCGAATAAAGTCTCCGAGTCTCCAACTGATGTCCAACGATTCCCCTGCTGCTTTTCCGGTTCCAACGCCATCATCTCCACCGACAAAAGCCCCATTGCTTTCCCGTATCAGCTCCGTGAAACGTTGGCGATCGCGTGGATCTTCTCAGACCAGCAAAGATTTTGCTGGAGACATTTCTGTCGATTCCGGTACCAGCATCCCTTACCAACCACCTAAAACACCAGAGCCATCTTTCTCGTGAGCTGTCACCCCAGCGTCGCCTTCAACGAGCCAAAATTGGCTCTTTAGGACTACTCCTAGCCCCAACTCAAAGCCAACACCAGATCCCGGGCTCCATCTCAGCAACAGCAACAGTGCGTATCCCACGTCCCGTTTCAGGAAGCGGAGCTCAACCACTGCCGGTTTCATTCACCTATATGATCTCGAAACTGGCACATGCATCTACATGAACCGTATCAGCGGCGAAACTGTCTTCGTTACTGCAGAACATGAGGCCACTAACGGTATTATCGGGGTTAATAAGCAGGGCCCGGTGTTGAGTGTGAGCGCTGACGAGCAGACCGTCATCCCTTACATTCTTACCATTCTGAACAACACCGAGCTGGTGGTCAAATTAGCTAGCCGGGCAAATTTACCTGGTGCTGACGAGCTGTATGTTCAGCAGTATCAGCAGCTTTTCGCCTCCGGCCAATATAGTGAAGCTGCCAAGATTGCGGCCAATTCGCCAAGAGTGAGCGATAATTCGACACTCTTATGTTGTTACACACTGACGATTGCTCTCAGGGCATTCTTCATACACCGCAAACCATAGAGCAATTCAAGCAAGTTCCTGTTCAACCAGGCACTCTTTCGCCCTTTGGTATTTTACTCAAGAAAGGCAAGCTTAACAAGCATGAGTCACTTGAATTGGCGCGCCCTGTTCTTGCCCAGGGCCGTAAGCAACTGCTTGAGAAATGGCTCAAAGAGAACAAGGTAACAACTCCTCATCCAGCGTGAGCATAGAGGTTGACCACATAAATTGCTCCAGCTTGAATGCACAGAAGAACTTGGCGACATTGTTCGCTTACACAACATGACCCTCGCTCTCTCGGTATATCTTTGCGCCAACGTCCCCAATAAGGTTGTCGCATGCTTCGCCGAGACGGGCCAATTCGACAAGATTCTATTGTACACAAAGAAAGTCAGCTACCACCCTGATTATGCGGTGCTTCTTCAGCACATTATGCGAGCGAACCCTGAGAAGGGTGCCGAGTTTGCAGCCCAGCTCGTAAACGATGAGAATGGGCCCCTTGTAGATATCGAACGCATCATAGACATCTTCATGTCACAGAACCTTATTCAACCCACCATGTCCTTCCTCCTCGATGCCCTCAAAGATAATAAACCTGAGCAGGGTCATCTTCAGACTCGTCTCCTTGAGATGAATTTAGTTCATGCTCCCCAGGTGGCAGATGCAATTCTCGGAAATGAGATGCTCAGCCATTACGACCGACCACATATTGCCAACTTGTGCGAGAAGGCCGGCTTATTGCAGTGTGTATGCGATTCTCAAAGTTAGACTATTTTTCACTGACCAAGATTCCGCAGGCTCTCGAGCATTACGAGGATCGGATCAATATGCGCGAAAACCTTCAGGTGGTGGTCCAGATCGCAACCAAGTATTCCGACATTCTTGGTCCAGTCAAACTCATCGAGTTATTCGAGTTGTATAAGAGCTTTGAGGGGCTATATTACTACCTTGGCTCGGTCGTAAATCTCAGTCAAGACTCCAAGGTTCACTTCAAGTACATCCAGGCCGCTACTCGGACTGGCCAGATCCGCGAGGTTGAACGAATCTGCTGTGAGAGCAATTACTACAATCCAGAAAAAGTCAAGAATTTCCTCAAGGAGGTGAAACTTTCCGATCAACTCCCGCTTATCATCGTCTGCGATCGCTTCGACTTTGTGCACGATTTTGTTCTTTATCTTTATCAAAATGGATTGGTCAAGTTTATCGAGGTTTATGTTCAGTGCGTCAATGCGGCCCGCATGCCTCAGGTTGTGGGTGGCCTCCTGGACGTTGACTGCGATGAAGCGACTATCAAAAGCCTTCTCACCTCCGTTATCGGGATTTTCCCCATTGATGAGCTCATCGAGGAGGTTGAGAAACGTAATTGCCTTTGAACATTCTACAAAATGTAATTACATTTACGGAACCATGAATGTGCAAGTTCAGGTGTGATACGGAAAATATATTCATGCAAACGGGTGATTGTCGCGATTTTGGCATCATCATTATCAGTGATGCACATATCCTCACGAAGCACCTCATCGCGTTGAGTCAAACCTTTCAGCCAACCAAAGGATGGTTCGATTGGGCTGAAATCAGGGCTGTAAGGTGAAAGATAGACAACTTTTTTGCCACTAATAAAGACTTGTTAGCGTCACTTGTTGAAATAGAAGTAGACATGTATATACCTTGATTCGATCATTGACTTGATGTGTTCCCCTTTGTGAATACGGCAATTGTCCATCACGACAACTGAATTCGGCCCAGGAAAATCGCTCATTTGCGCCAGTAGCCCATTGATGAAATCGGTGAATAGCTCGGCAGTGAATGAGCCTTCCACAATCTTCAGCCAAATAATGCCATCGAGGCATAAAGCTGGCAAGACGGAGTATCTGAGCCTTTGTATGAGATTATTTTCCACAAAAGATGAGAATTATTCATACCTTCGACCCCGAATGAAGTGGCAGCGCTTTGTCGCACGCTCCCCACGGAGAGACCAACCATAATCCCGATATGTAGTACGCTTATCAAATGAACTCTCATCAATGAAAACTAGCTGCTCTGGCTTATATTGTCCAATTTCGAGTAGAAAATTGGCCCGTTTGACTTCGCTGCGCTCGATTGCCACCTTCGTCATCTGTCACGAAATCATGGTTAATAAATACAAGGGAAATGGGTATAAATAGCCACCTTTTTCCATGTCAATCCAGCATTCTGTAATGCACGCCAAATGGTGGAAAGGGATACATCAAGATCCCGGAACTCACGCAGGTGAGCTTGGAGTTCTTCAAGGTAAAAATCTTTGCGGAATTCCAACAGACCTAACAAGTACTAACCTATGCACTTAGAGAGGCCAGGAATATAGTGATTGGAAAAATACTTACGCTGATATCATTCTCTTCTATGAGGCGTGGCCGACCAGCTTTGGATGGCCCATGTGAAATTCTGAATGCGCCACCATTCGCCTGGCAGTTTTCACGTACACGATACACTGTCCGTAAGCTCACACCAGCTACCAATGCAATCTGTTCAGGATGGACATGGAGTGCCAACATCCTTGCAACAACATTGCCACGTTCCTCAGTGATCCTCTGGACACCTGAAGTCACCAAAACAGTAGGCGCACTTGTAGGTGCACAGGGGACAGTGCCACTCAGAGGATAGTCCATGGTCTAGCAGGTTTGTTCAACAACGGTGGCTTTGCTCTCGTGACTATGATATTAGGAGTTGTCCAAATTATATTACGCTTACACATTGCTATGTTGTTCCCTTTGGCTTTCCAGGAATTAAACCAAGTCATACGCTCTTTGTGTAACCTGGGGCAGGGCTGATTCAGACTTTCAAGACCTCTCAGCACGGAAAACACGAGAAAAAAAATTTTTGTTTAAAAACAATTTGGTTTGCACCTGCTTCATGCGCTACTCGGACGCTTTCCAACGCATGTTGAATCACCAAAATCGGCCCAGTTTTGAGTGAGCAGTGATGCGAAAGATTTTGCGGAATTTTGAATTTCGGAGTTTGCCTCGAATTTTGCAAATGGCAATAATGCAGAGTTTTTTCTCTGTGTAAACCTAACCACCCTGGCCTCATGAGGTTGTCCCTGTCCAATGAATAGCTAGTCAGGCAGCAGGTGGACAAAAGGTTAGCATCACATGCACCAGTGTTTGTTTGTTTTGATGAGACATGGAAACTAATTGGGAAGTTATTTTCATCCACATCACCACCAATTAATTCACAACCCCTGACCTGCTAGGTGTCATATCCATGCATACCCGATCCCGACCCGACTCCCAGACCTCCTTCTTCACCACCTCCGGAGTCCTGCCCTACCACTGTCTGTTCCGATATTCACCTTCAGTCCTGACACCACACCTCCTCTCACCCCTCATGCCACCTCCACTCCTCCATCCTTCTCCTGTCCTATCTCCGTCCACTCTGATACTCACCTCGGACCAAACACCACTCCTCTCGCCACCCTCCTCCTACTCCTCCTCCCACTCCTCTGCTTCCTCCTCACAACACCTCCACCCTTCCGTCATTCTCCTACCCTTCATCCGTCCGCTCCAATACTCACCTTTGGACCTGACACCTTTCCTCTCCTCCATGCCTTTCCTCTTTCCTCTTTCCTCTCTCTTCCCTCTGGCCCTCTTCCGCTGACCTCCCGCCAAGTTACAACCTTCTGCCACTGTCCCATACCTCGTACTTGGGCACTGCTCGTACCTTCGCTCCAAGTCTCCATCATAGTTCCTACCTCGGACTTTGACTCCACCTCGGCTTTAGTCCATTGCATTGGTGACCTCATACTACGTAAACACCATTGCCAATATTCCTCGGACTTTCAACCCCACCTCCATAACCTCCATAAGCTCTGCAACCTCCAAGCTCCACGGATCATCTTCGGCACTTTCGCCACTTGTAATCACTGTGTTTAGAGAAAGATTATCCATAGCCAAATAGTACAGGGATATCTGTGATATTCTCTGTTATATTGCACACTAGAATGATCGCAGGATATGTCAGGAATAGTTCAGAACTCCCACACACTGGGACAGAGAATAGCACAGGGATTTCGCTGACCAGATTTGCAGGGCACCAGCTAGGTCCTGGCAGTATCCGTTACTGAATATTTCACAGAATATTGCACACAGAATAGAGGTCCATTGCATGCACATACAAACGACTCTTAAATCCAACAATATTCAGTACTGCTCATTTTCCACTCATTTTCCGCATCCTCTTTGTGCTTCATACTTTTAGAGCAAATTCAGATAGTAGTGCTGTAAGAACAATAAATACACCCAATGGACTTCAAGGTCCTGAAGGCGATATGCTGTCCACCTCGCTGATGTGCAAAACTCCATCTGGTCCTCAGCTAGATCTCCATGGTAATGCAATCAGAACCAGCATTCTCAGCACACCCACAACATCAGACTTGAAGTGATGGAACACTACTCCACTGGCCAAAGTAGCAATAGTCTTCCCATAGGGCAGATGACTCAATAAGTGCAGCTAAAATCTGCTAATAGTACTGCAGACACTCACCTGAACGGCAGAAACAGTGTGAGAGGTAAGACAAAGAACAAGTGGCCTGCCAATGCATGTGTGAGTCGCATGCCCCATAACATGGAATGTGGGTCAGGCTTACTGATCTAGTGTTGAATGCCCAGGACTCAACATAGAAAGCATTGATGTGAAAACCCTCTACCATCGCCTTTGCCAGATGATGCTCCAACCGCAACTCAGAGCAGATGGAGAGCCTGGCCTTACCCCAAACTGGTGGTTGGGGTTCAAGGCGCCAATAAGTGGTTAGTGAGGCAGTGAGGTGGTGAGAATTAGCTTAGGAACACTGGTACATGAAAGTGGACACACCTTTGCAAAACCGCTGATTCCTGGCACAAACAATTAAGATCCACATCAAAAAAGGAATGATTGATGAGAACAACGTTCGTGATGCCGTGGAGCAGTACTTCACCTTGCTCAAAGCCAAGTGGACCAGATCACAGTTCGACAATTCCTAAAAAAATATGCAAGTGCGAAGTGCGATTATGGTGCGATTGAGAGCAGTGCATTGCCTGATGATTGGTAATATTGATTAAGGTTCTCTGTGCTAGAAAGCCACCAGGAGGCATAAAGGGTTAGAGGGTAAGTGTTAGATACTGATCCGGGGTCGGGCACCGAGGGTCGCCGATGCGGATTGCTAAGGGCCACGATGGCCACGATGCCTCAGACAAGGCCCGAGGGTAGGGCATTCGGCCTCAGCAACTCTAAAGGGAGTGCTGTGCCCCCTAGTAGTCTCTTGGCCCTCATTTCGAACTTACTGGGGCTGCCTTGTTGGGGTCAGGGCTTAGGGTCGTGATCAAGTCGGCACGGGATTGGTGTGGTACTCAAAATGGAAGTCGGAGAAGGAGTCGGTGACGATGGGTTAGAAGGTCAGAGGAGAACAAGCTGGTGTACTTGTCTCTTAACTCAAACTTGACCTTCCTACCATGCTTCCTATGAGTCCAGGGGTCCGGGTGGCGGAAGTGAAGTGGCCTAATCGGCCCGAGGTGCGGAGGCGACAGATGGAGGCTGGTTGGGCAACTCACATCATGTCCAAAGGTTTGGAGGTGCGGTGCATGGAGGACAGGAGTCCACTCAACATGACCGCAGAGTTCGGGGATGCGGCGCAAGGAGGACAGAAGTCAACTCACAAGTCAGCTGCAAGCAGAAGGGTCAAATGATGACACATGGGAGACCACACAAGTGACTCTCATAGTGCCCGAAGGAACAGAGTGTGATAAAGTTCCCAGCGGTGCGGCAGTACAAGGTGTGGTACTGCTGTGGCATGGTGCGAACTCATCACGGAAGGAAATGGTGAAGTTGAGACGAGGTCCTCAGGGTGCTGGAGCACAGGCCGAGGGTAGACTCGCTCAGGGTGTTCAGGTGGTTAGCCTGCCAAGAGCCAGGAATGCGCTGATTTGCGGCATCTAGTATGAAAACTCGGCTAAGTGGCAACGGCGTGACCAGGAGAACGGGGACGAAGGACTCGGGATCCCATTCGGCGATGGCACAGGGAGGTACTCCATGTCGCTATGTTGATTACGGCAAAGGCGGCGATAGCGGGATTGACAGGAAGGAGTCCTATGGCCATTTGGGGAATCGGAGTCAACTGGGGGAGCCAAACAGGCTCGGAGCGGGGTACCTAGGCGCGGGTGGAGGAGGACAACTCGTCCTCAACTGGGTTATGAGGACCCGGCCAGGTGGGTACGGAACCGGTGGTGTTGTATCAGCAGATACAGACTCAAGGGTCATTGGGGGTTGAGTGCAGGAGTCGGCCATACTAGGCCTTCTGCAATGACTGACCTATGAGGTCGGGAGAGGACTGTAGGGGTGTACGCTCAGGCACCAAGGGTCGGGAGTGGGTAGGGGTGATGTCCAGGTGGTGAGGGAGGATCGTCGTCACGCACGGGCTTGCTCCAGGCTAAAGCGGTGCGGTGGTTGACAGGACGACGCGGCGAAAATCCTAGGTGAAGACCGGTCGTAGGCCAAAGGTTGTTAGGTGCGGAGTCCTTAGTGCAAAAGTGGCATCTTAGCACCTGTATAAATACCAGGATCCAAGTTGACTGAGTGGTCAGTCAACGTCAGCCTTTTGGCAAAGAGGCTCCAGTGTGGTCCTGGTCTGGCCCGTCTCTGACAGTAAGGTTGGTGCAAGTAAGGATGAGATGGAGTCGATTATCCTCATCAATCTGGAGCAAGCATCAGCTGTGGACGCAGACAAGAAAGACCTTCGGAGTAAGATTTTCACCACAAAACCAAACATCATTAAAACAAATATTAATAGTGAATAGGCCTGAGCTAGTGCTTGATGCAGGATAGAACACGGATTTTGCAGAAACAAGGAATAGGACAGAGGATAGTGCAGGCACATGCTCAGCCCTGCTATATTCCTGGCAAATACCCAGGCGTGATTTTGCACATCTCGTAAGTTAAACTGGTGCCTGCTCAGAGGCTTGGGATTTTTCAGGGAATAGCACAGGATGACACAGCTTGTGCATTATTACAGTGCAGAATAGTACACGGGATAATTTGGCTCTGAATGCAGTGAATGTATCTTTCACGTTTCCCCCTCATCCCTATTTGGACTGCTGCTTCTTCCCATTCTAGCCAGTTAGTCATCATCCCCACTTCCCCTCATCCTCCTGCCCCTCTGGGCTTCGCCCCCCTTACCTCCTTTCGGATGTACCACAGGTTCAGCCCTATGACCTTCAGTACCACTCCACTTCTGTCATCCCTTTGTTCCCATTTGGATCCCCTTTGTTTCCTTGTGCTTCTGCCCTCTCCATTATATATATCAGTGCTTGTACATACTCGTTTTAGGCCTTAGTCTAAAATCGACCTGAAATGCCCCCTAGAGACTTCCTGCTCGCTGCCTATGAAATTAAGGACCAAATGGACAAACAGCAATGGCACAGCGCTCCACTTGAGTCGCTGAGGCCAAGGTCCCTCCTTGCTAAGTCTCCGGTTCCCCTCTGGAATTGTCTGCCCTTGCCCAGTTCTAACACTGAGCTACCCACTGAGACCTCACACATACAGACTTGTGTTCTTTGACAGTAAGTTAAGAGCCACACACCAGCATACTGAATGTTGGCACAGTGCTCTGCTCTGAGTCACTGAGGCCAAGGCTACTCCACTCATGCTCTCACTCCATCCTCAACATCATTTGCCAATTGAACATGCAGATTGGTCATGAATACATATGTGAGGAAAATTCTGATCAGTGTTATTTAGGCAAAGTGTAGCTGTGCTGTTCCATGTCCTGCCACCACACTTGCTGTAGCTCATCACACCACTCCTGTACTCCTCTTTTCAGCTCCTCCTGATCTATTTCTAGCTCCTCATGCTCCATCAGCAGCTGCAGCCAGCCCACCAACTGTGGCTGCCGCTCCACCAGCTGTGGCTGGTGTTGTACCTGCTGCAGCAGCTGCTGCAGCAGCCCCTGCTGCTGCTGCTGCAGCAGCCCCTGCAGCCACTCCTGCAGCTGCCACCACTCCTCCTGCCACCACCCCTCCTGCCACCACCCCTCCTGCCACTGCTGCTGCTGCCACCGCTCCTCCTGCTGCAGCTGCAGCTGCTGCTGCTGCTGCTGCTGCCGCTGCCACCGCCGCTGCCACTGCTGGATGTCACTAAGCCAGGAAAGCCTTGAATAGGCATCATGCACAACAGGCTGAATGTGGGCTAAGCAGCTAGCTCCCTATCTTAAAGGTTAATGTTAAGAACCTGATGTAAACAGCATGATCATTACCATGAAGAGAAGAGTTTCCTTTGATCCTTGAACAATATGATCCACTTTCCCAATCACCCGTAGGACTTTCATCCATTGCAGTAAAACTCCCCCTTCAACTCCACCACCTTGACCAGTGAACTTCTCCAGTGTATCCCTGACTTCTTCATCAACTGACTGCAGCTTGCATAGATGGGATGTCCAAAAGCAGCATGCATACTGCACTTCCTCCTTAACTACTGAAGTGGGCCTGACACTTAGATCCTTCATGTCCACCTTGAGTGAACTCCCTGGTCCTAGCTCAGCAATGAGAAGGTTCAGGCAACGAAGAGCCATCCACTGCTCATGCTTCTCCACATCAACCCTGAGCTGAGGATTCTTGCATCGCTGCAAGACAAAATCAGGAAAGGAAGGGTGATAGACTTTAACTCTGTCTTCTGGATGTGGTGGTAGTGGCACAATGGATTGGATGCGTGCAAGGAGTAACTTGGGATCAGAGACCTCAGTGAAAGCACCCAGCCCTTTCAGGGTCAATGGATCCTTGAGCAGGACAATGGTCTGTAGAAGACAATGGAGCTCCACAAGCCTGTCTTGCCGGATTTTGGCAACACAGGCAGACAAAACAGTTTCATATAGCTTATCAAGCTCAGCATGGGGACCCACATCGGCTTCCTGACTGCCTTTCAAGATGGAGTCCAGTTGATAAACAGGACCCTCATCATCATCATTTATGAACTTGATGGCAGTGGCAGCCCAGATGAAAAGCCGGCCAGCTTTCCCCACAAGAGCCAAGATCATATCTGGAGAAGGCCACCCCTTTGGAAGAGTGTCCCTAAATCGTTCACAAATAGACTGGAGTTCATACTGAAGATATAACTTGATGTCATCTGAAGCAACAAGCTTATCAACTTCATGAATCACAATCTTGTCAATATTCACGGCTTGGTCGAAACTTGTAGTGATATGACGTTCTGGTCGGCTTGTTATGAGTATACGGAGACCAGGAATGCCAGAACAGCGAAGGATGTGGCGGAGCAACTCTTTTGCTCCATCCACTTCATCTCGCTCACACTCATCTAGGGCATCAATTATCAAGAGGAGGGGTGAAGAGAGTTTGAGGTCTTTCAGGGGGGTGAAGAGGAGGGTGGAATATTGGGTGGCAAGGGAGGCATGAGAAAGCTTGTCATCCTCCTTCAATGCCTCTGCGACAGCTGCACCAAATTTCGGAAGTTTCTTGGCAAAGTCCCGCACGATCGTCCCAAAGAAGAGCTTCGCATTAGACAACTCGGCATGTTGACGGACAAAGAAGAAGGTTGATCCAAGGAGGTCAGACTCTTTGGCATACTCCGCAATGGTGCGTGCAATAGTCGACTTGCCGATCCCAGCTAGACCATTCAACCAGAACACCGGCTTTGTTGTATCACTGATAGGTCGGTGCAACCATTGCTTAACCTCCTCAATAATTGCCTTTCGCGTTCCGGGAAAACAGTTAGACGGAGCACCAGGCCGGTTGGTGTCATAGCCGGCATTGAGAGTACGCGGAAGCGTGTTGAGAAGAGAATCTAACTGCTTCGCTTCTTCGGCCGAGGCTTCGTCGCGTTTGTGCGCCTGGAAATAGTCAGCACCTATGATGCGTACACGGTCGAAAAACTACCTTAATCTCCTCGATCCCCTCGCGAAGTTGCTAGGGTATTAGTCAGCTTGGAGCTCTGAGAAAGCCAGTGAAAGCTGTACCGTACTTCAATCTGTAAGTAATGTCGGACCCCTTGTGCAACCTATGTCCATAGATTAGCGCTTCCGGTGTGATACATAAATGTAGCGGAAGGATATCTACATTAAAGGCCGCTACAGCATTGTGTATCCTTCCCCCAGCCTTCCCCACCTCGGCTGCAATTTGTTGATGATTCGCCCATCGGTAGACACCGCTCTTGTCCCTGTACGATTCCAAAGGCGAAGTAGCCGTTACGAATTCACTAAAAGGGACAGTCAGACTACTCTGACTCTCAGGATATCTGAACATACCCCGATAAAGCGTCGATGGCTTCGCTTAGCTCGGAAGGAACAGAGGGTTTCCCTTCGTATGTTTCAAGCGGCTTCGATACTGACTGATTGAAGAATTTGACAGTGTCCTCAAGCTGACGAATCGCATCCACATTTGCGCCGACTGTCTGTGAGCGCAACTATTAGCGTTACGTCCCCGCCGCGGCGGTTACAGAACCTACGTCCAACTGGCGAACTATTTCAAGGAAGCCTCCAATCGCGCTCTTGAGCCCAGGAACAGGGACACTATCTAGACTTGCTTGGGCAATACGCAGCACGTCCAGAACACCGTTCCAAACGGTACTGAAACCCGCATTACTTGAGGGTGCCGCTGCCACTTCAGGTTCGGCTACCACTGCGGGTGCAGGTGCGGGTGTCACTATTGACTCAACAGAGGAAGACCGTGGTGCGGGTTCAGCAGAGGAAGCACCTGGAACCGGCGACGATGTAGCTCCCTTCGTCGAGAATTTCCCCTTTAATTTTTTGAGGAACTTTCGCATGTTGAACAGACTATACGGACGATTGACAATGACACGATCAACACGTTGCAACCTCGTGCACAACACTAAACAGGAAGTTCTTCGCATCCACACAGGCGCCCATCCCGACGGTCTAAATGAGGAGCCAGTACATGTGTAAAATACAATCTCGTACTCTGTGACTTGGGTTCAGGGACCGACTGTGGTTTTGAATGTCACCCTGGCTGCGATATGACAGAACTTTGTGCACAGACTCCTGCCAAAGATCGTCTCTCGATCTTCCTCACATATTCATGCTAGCTTCTCACAATACCCAAGTACGATGACAAAGAGGCACATAGAAATCGCGGAATGATAGCTGGGGGGATCCATCTGGCCGTTGCGATGTCTGCTTCAGTGGGAATCTCATCCATCAAAGCCATCTTTGTCTGGTCTCCGAAGTCCGCATCTGCCTGCTCAGGTCAACACCACATTCGCGATCGACGTTTCATGATTCGAAACAATCCTGGCCGCTATTGGTCTGGTTCCAGTGACGTCCGCTCGCAGGCGCGCCAATTGCTCCGTCTGACATTCACCATCTTCACTCCACTTAACGGTATGGCCGAGAGAGAGCGGGGCGCCCCACGATCACTTAATACACTTTAACGTTCCTGACATTGATTGCGTCACGGATGTCATCATAGGACCGAGCGGCAGCGCTGCTCCGCCGCTTGCCCCACCACATCACGATTAGGGACTGACATCGTCACCCTATCGTCTTGGATCTAACGCGCTATCCCTGGTCCTCTGATGTCGTGCGCAGGCATATTGCCTGTTCATCCTAATGTCTCCCCCACATCCCCGCATACCCACAAACCATTCTCAGAGTCACCACACTCACACCCGGGCTCCCTCTGAATACAACTTCCTTATCATTCATATCCAAGTGAGTGTGCTGCGGCTCTCTCATCGTGATCAGTTAGACAAAAGCGACTAATCGTTGGGGTATCCAAAGTAGATTGCATTGAGCATTCCAATCCAAATAAACTAAAACCAGTGGCGGTGGGTATACACTCGACTCGTCAAGGAAAAACAATTTCGAGTGACCCACACACCAGTGAACAACTCCAACAGATTAACAAATAGGGGAATGGAAAAGGGAGAGAAGGGCAACTAGGTCGGAAGCATAGAAGAGACGGCATCAAGTGTGACGGGAAGGAAACCACTTTAGAAAAGTCATGATAGACGCACGAACCTATGGGATGGATAGAGGAAAGATACAACAGAATCGAATTGTAAGAGGAACTTGGATATAAAGCGAGAAGAAGGATCACTTTGAAACTTCGGATGGAAAATACCCAAATCTCTGACGAGTGGCAGGGAAACGCGAGGGGAAAATGATAAGTGTATAGCTCAATTATCGGGTTTTCCCTCCGAGATCTGTTGCAGAGGAACATCAGTGATACAGTGCAGATGTTGCACTGCGGACAGGCATCCGAAGAACGAAGGACGAGCTCATCTGCTAGTAATACAGTAATTTAGGAAATTTTGAGCTTGATAATACAATGCCGTTCGTGCTTGTCGTAATGTTCATGCTCTTGCTTCGTGGGTGCGGTGTCGTGATGCAATATATGAAGGACTTCAGCGCGAGAGATCGCATAAAATCCATGCCATACCTCCATGGAAAGAAAACAAGAGATAAGGGATTGAGGGTCGAAAAGTCAAAGATGGATGGATACGATATCCCATCGCAAATCGATAAGATACGACGCGATTAGTAGTCAACATCCTTGAAGTCAGCTCGCAGAGTATGATAGGCATCTTTGCGAGATCTCCCTTCTAGAAATGAAGTAACTTGGATGGAGGAGACATGAAAACTAGGCGCCAACTTGGGCGACCGCAGCCCTGCCGGATTCGAGCTAGGTATCGTCGGAGATGCAGTAGAAGTTGATGACGATGACACAGAAGAACCGCCCTGCTTTAGATTTTTCTTCGCGTGGAAAACGCCCAAATGAACTCGCACGGAAAACAGATCCCACCGTTTCCGTGCAGACTCTGCAGAGCTTGATCTAAAATCGAAAAGAGATGGTTTGAATATGTCGATTTAAGTGATTACGAAGTAGGGAGAGGCGAAGTAGAATATCACGGAAAATAAAAGAAACAATAACTCACGCCTGCTGTGCCTGGTGTTCAACATCACTCCCAAACCCATCGAATTCCCCTCCTCATCGAGATCAAGGACCCAAGTTCTGCCGGGCGAGACGGATCATTGACGTCCGCCTATTACCTTGAGCCTTGGCAGTAGTAGTCGATGGATGAGATGAATGGTGGTGCCCTAGTATAGTCTCCTCTTCTTCGTCATGGAAAGTAGTAGTGAAAGGAGAGGCGGGATCAGGGAGCAAGTAAGTCGGCAATGCAATTCCAGGCGAAGCCGTCCCCCCATACATCCACGCGCCGGGGCCGTTCAAACTGGGTGGTAGAAGCAGACATGAAATATGAAGAAGCTGGGGAAGATGTGGATGTGGATGGTATGTAGCGCGAGTATATATGAGGCGTCAGAGGATGAGAAGGAGAGAAGGAGAATACAGAGATGATCGTTCCGAGTCGATCCATGTCCTCCTTGATGAGACTCTCTCACTGATTGTCCACGTCCACGTTATTCTGTCTTGATGCTGGTTGTATAGGGATAAGAATGGAATAAGTAAGAGCTCTCCGATGGCGAAATGAGATCGGAGAGGAATGGATGGACTTGTTGAAAGTGGAAATGTTTTATTTACAGGGAGAGGTAAGTTAAAGATGAGATGGTGATGTATACACGGTTGTAGCCATTGCTGTGTAGCCGGGAGAGGCCAGAAGCCTGATATGCCCTATGTTAAGAGGGGAACGGGGAGTGAAGGAGCGCGGCGGTGGGATTGTGCATACAATAACTTACCGACGAGTATATACATATACGTATACGTAGTATATAACTGGTGGACGCCGCCTGACGCGGCAGAAGTCTAAGCCCACAAAACCCGCTACAGAATAACAGAAATTACAAAAAGTGAAATCAGACGTAAAGATGACTTGATAGCTGTATTCCAATAGAGGCTAGTAACTTGCCTACTTGATATGTAGCGCGGAAGGACCGCTGACGAGTGCTTTCGCTAACACGGCATAGCTTGTTACTTGTTTAGGGTGAGGAGAGGCGAGTGAGCTCATAGGGTCGATGACGTGACGCCCGCGTAATGAACGAGCGTTACGTGTCTCGAGTGCGGTGCAGCGAGTTTGAAATGTGATGCGTCTCCATCCATCGAAGCGCCACGTTTCCTAGGATAGTACAGCCAGGTGATAAGAAGAAGTCGGTTTCATGGTTTTCAGTGACCCACATGATTTCTCCGAGGTTTTCGGAGGCAACGTACTTGAGTTGGCTAGACGTGCGTGGTGGCAGTTTGTACGTAAGTTAATTAAATTTACGTCTTATTTTTCGTCGGAACCGAAATGGACCACTGATCGAAACTGAACGGCGAAGGCGGCGAAACCAGCCGGGTGTGCCCATTCAATTGGGTCGCCAACTCCTTCCACCATTCAGTCGTTCAGACCAAAATAATATTGATACGGGGATTTCTGACAGTTGCACTGTAGTTGGTTCCTCCGACTGCAATAGACTCCATCCATATCCATCGATTCCTCATGAGTACTCCAATGGACGTTGACCCGAAAGGCGGGGCTGCCACAGACGATCCGCAAACGTTCAATAGTCGTGTCATCCAGGCGATCGATGACTACGGCACTCAAGCTTTCGAAGGAGTTCAGGCACTACCCAAATTGCTACAAATATTGCTTTCAACTTTTCTACCCACTGGTACCAACGTTCCTGATGAGGAGGCATGTGGTAAATATATTTGGGTTACCCCAAGTTTATCGTCCAAGCTTGCCGAAGCATACCGCGACAACTCTTTCTTCGAGTTGTTGTATGATGGTAGGTTATGTTCGCTCTGTGGCAGTATTATCGTGTACATGATTTCATTACTAGTTGATATGCGGCCTCTAATGGGTCTTAACCGTCATCAGAGTGGCGGGCTTCCAACCAATCGTAGTGTTCGCGGTAAGCGCCTCTTCATCTTGAGCTCTTCATCTGCCTGAAAAGTTGCGTCAGGTCTTCAATCAGCATTTCAAGAACCCTACCGAGGAAAGGCGCACAAGCTGCTTATCAAGGTATTGAACAAGTATTGGCAGTCGAGTGTCGGGATCGAACCAAGCCAGAGACCATACAATTGGTCTCTATCAGTCATCCAGTCTTCGGGTATGGGGAAATCCAGAATGGTCAATGAAGCCGCGCTCTCCGTATTTACGATTCCAATCAATATTCGTGAGGAGCTGGGCCCTAATCTCAAAAGTTCATCGTGAATCCCATATTTGCGATCGACGATGCTAATTTTTACCGCTAGCCTATCCCCCTCCGGACAGGCAGTTTCGCGACTATTTTCACGGACACGACGTAAAAAGCGATATTCGGCTGCAGGCAGAGTATGCAATTCTATTGAGCGTGCTGTTCACGAAGGCCACCGAACTTCTTGAGAAACCCATTTTCAAACATGAAACAGGAGCGGCGCTAGCGAGCCAATGGGCTGATTATCTCGACGATGGACAGACTGATATCGAAGCTGGTACGAATAGGAACGAGTTTCTGGATTCTGTGGCGAATCGGGCATACCAGGTGACGTCTAGATGCGTTAGTAATTGCTGCCACATGCTGAATTTTCTTGGGAAGCTTCAATTAGTGGAGCTAGGCCTTCTACAGCAAGATCAAAAAACAGCCCAAACGAAACTGGACGACTCCATAAACCGAATGCAGGACTCGTGCCGCAAGTTTGTCAAGGCCATCTCTAGTTACGAAGGGAGAGCAAAAGAAGTCAAAGGCATCGTATATTTTGACGAAGCTCACCAGCTTACCGAACCCATCCCACCGGGAAGGAAGACCGACGCAAGGAGTCGCTCACCCTATCACAACCTTGGCATAGTGCTATCTGAGCTAATCGATTTCCCCGTTTTCTTCATTTTCTTATCTACGAGCTCTCATCTCCAGACATTCGCTCCCTCGCCCGCCAGCCATCCCTCAGTTCGCATTGCTCAGGGCCTCCCTCCTTTCACCGAGCTGCCGTTCGACATCTTTGTGGGCGAAGTATTTGAAACTTTGAAAAGCCAGGGGAAATTTTTCAGCCTTGAAAACGTGGGCCAAACGAGTGTGATGGCAGGATTTGGACGGGCCCTGTAGGTGCCCACTATATCTGTGGCAAAATCGACTAAACTCGTAATAGATGGTATGTCCACCACAAAGCCTGGTTGGATCATCAAGGATTTCCCGTTATATCGTTCGCCGGAGAGAAACTGTTCGCGCAAGGGAACAAAGCGCGAGTATTCCACTCTTTAATCGCTGCTCTGGGGGTTCGCATCGGGATAGCTTTCGACACTACCACTCAAGCCTCGAAGACCATGGAATCAGAACTCGTCGAATCGCACATGCGTGTTGTTTATGCCATCCCCGAGCATCGTGAGTTTATGCGTGCCGGATCGCCCTCTGAGCCTATACTGGCTGAGGCAGCAGCGAGGCGTCTGAATGGCCCTTCGGATGGCAATGGAATAGAAATTCAAGGCCCAGAAATCCTAGCTCAGGCTTGCACAAAGGGACTTCTTGCGAAGGGAGTGCGTGGGGAAATCTGCGGCCGACTTCTTGTGACCATTGCACATGATATCGCCGTCCGACAAAAGCACTCTTTGCCAGATCTTTACTCACCTGACCCACATTTCCATCGACCTGTCCATGTCCTCGACTTTCTCAGGGCTCTATTTGCGAAGCAATTCGAAACTGTGATATTGAAAGCCAACTCGGTGACGGCCAGGGAGGGTATCCCTAATTTGGAAACAGCATTTGCGAATGCTTACATCTTTTTTTCCCATTTCGCTCTGGCCAAAAATTCCGAGATGCTCTCTGCTCGAAACTTGGCGGTAGCTCTACTGCGTGGCATGGCTCTGCAAGCCAAAGATCATCAGGAGTCGATCGATGCCGTTATCCCTGTTCATATGGGTGACCCAACCGAGTCTATCTCGCCGGCATCGACATCAGCGATTAACTTGCAATTCAGGAATCGGAAAGAGGCCAAATATTGCCGCGTACCTCGCCAGACCACTGTTCCAGATGAAAAGGTGGCAGTAATATCCATCATTTTCGAGTTTGGAGCCAGGAAGATAGGGGAGCCTGGACTTGTGACCGTTACTAAAGACATACCTCACGACGCTCGCAGCTCTGCCAGCAAATTACACAGGGACGACCATCATTATGAAATTGTCGCTCACGGTTGCATATCGGAGACTTTCGCGGCGATTCCATCGGCTGTCGAGTCACAGTACCAGTCTATCCTCTCGGCTCAGACTATTGTTGAGGACTTTCCTCGGGCAGGAGACGAGGAATGTTTGCAGGCGTTTGAAAACTTAAGACCGTTCTTTGATGGCCTTCAAGAACCAGTGAAGTGGAGAAAATGATGAATTGTATGTACGTGCATGGTATTGATGACCAAGATCCTAGGAATGTATGTATGACGCAGCAAATCACAGTGGGAAGTAACCCCGGTGGATGGTATAGGGTTGCCCCGGTACCGGCCCTGCTAGGTAGTAGGGAGCCCCATTACTATCTGACCGGGCAAACCATCAGAGTTCGAGTGCCGGGGCTTCCTATCAAACATGCGCAGTCTGACAGGGTACCCCGGAAGAACTGACAGGATGGCCTGGAAGTTATTGATAGCCTGTTTTCATAGTGAATCATAATACATTCATGTGGCATGGTACTTTATAGCAATACATGCATACACTGGCGCTTCTCATTGCGAGTGTCGGAGATATAGGAAACATAAGTGCACCAAGGCTATACGCAGGGTAAACTCCGCACTTGAACACAGGAGAAAGCCCAAGAGCAAGTCGGTTTTGATTGCGGATTCGTTCGGAGAACGTGATTTTTGAATTGTAATACAAAGGGGACTTCTAAACATTGTGCAGTTGCGCGTTCACGAAGCGGAGACGACTGGGTTCGAGTCTGCTACTTGAGGACCATTTGACGGTTGAAGATTCTTGGGCCGGCTGCCCACACCGTTAGCAGTGCGGTGATCGGGGTCTTCTTCCCGACGCTCACTTCTGTAACTAAGGCCGCAATCAGATCACGGAGACACAGGTTTTTTATGTCTATGTAATTTCTGAGGGCTGGGTTTCCCTTCCCTTCCTTTTCTCTCCAGTCCTCCAAGCGCGTGCGCTCGAGACCAAAGTCGGTGTTCATCGCTTCATGCTATGTTCATAGCTAGTTATAACTACTTGCCAATAGCAGCAGTTCTCCAAAAGTCGCGATGCGATTTTGGAGTGTCCTCGCCTTCACAATCCATGTGCTTCCCGCTCAGCCCGTTGCACCCTGTCCCTCCCAAATACCGCGGCTCAGGAAGCCGAGTTTGGGGTCATCATCCCGTCGAACCGAGGCCTATAATCACATTTGCTCCTGCTTAACCGATTCATTCCCAATAGATGGTTGCGTTGGTGCAACGAGCTCGTACTGGGGTCAGGGCCTACAACCTGGACCTGGAATGACCATCTCGGTTTGCGGTGCTAAGATCACGGTTCTCAACAACCAAACATGGCGCAGCTCAGATGGGGCAACCGGGCTTTGTTATCCGGTCGCGGCTATCACGGCGTGCTCGAATAAACTCTATGAAAATTGCCTATATTCCGATTGGGTGTGGTGCGCGTCGAGCTTGTGCAACTAGAAGGGGAAGTTGGTCTCAGGATCTGGTGGAGTCGGCACGTTGTGACCCTAGCAAAAATTACAGCGTGTGAGAATGCACTAAGCCTGCCTAGGTCATCGGCATCCGGAAGCCGCGTCAATCGAAGCGCTCGACACGTTCGTGTTTCATCTCAGTAGTGCTGGAGCGGCTAGCAGTTGTCTAACAGGCGCTTCCAAGATGTGAGCAATTTCCCCAAGACTCATTCTTGAGAACCTAAAGATCAAGCTATCGTTTCCCGCAGGCTCAAACATGCCCACTTGACAAGACAAATGGACGAGCCCTACTTCTTATCTATCTATTTAATGAGTTCCGTGTTACTATTGAGTCAGAGGTCAAAATGATTTTGGTATGAAGAGGATCCCTTTCTCTGGGATCGGAACGGTTGATTATCTTGAAAGCAGCTGTAACGCTATCTCACGGATTAAATTAAACGCAGAACAGTGTGTTGTCCCACTGGGCCTGCCTTGAGGAATGAGGGACTGACAGCTGAACTTAAAGGCGTGTCCAGCTTAGCGGATGTCGGCCAGAGCTTCTCTCCCCGATCTAGGAGTCGCGTTGTATGAATTTTACACGAGGGCAATCATGACCTGTTCGTCTCTTAATGAATTTTCATATATCACGACCACCGAACATGACTATCGGTGGTGGGGGGAGACGAAGCAAGAACACTGGGTCGTCAGCATTGCTTCATCTTTCGTAGGACATCTTGCGTGCGGTTACGGACGAGTTTCCGTGTCAAAGGTTTTACGCCACCATCCTCGTAGAAAAACAAACTATGTACAAGCACTCCGTCCTCTAATTTGCACTTGGTACGCATTTCGCATGTTCCCCGCTTGACACCGCTCGCATATATCTCTTTACCCATCTATCATTTCTCCTATCTTATCGAGTACTTGCATCCTGCATCTGAGATTACAATGATAGTATCCCTGGCTCCGCTGAGCGGTTGTCAAAGTGAGCATTGCTGGTGCCGTGCTAATCGTGGGCATGCCTTTTGATCGAATGTGGCGGGAGCGCGGTAGTTTGGGGGCTAGACGGGAACGCAGTGGAAACCCTTCACAGGTGGCGATCCGCGTCAGCTCTGGTTTAAACTTCCTAAGCCTGACGACTCTGACTTGCAGCTATTTCATCTGGGGGAACTCTTGGATGAGCGAGCTCCTTAGCGTGGATTCGCGAAACATCCCAAGGGGGGGGGCGTCCGTTCGGCGTAGTTTTCATGGGCATTTAATTATCGTGTTGGCTGCATTGACAACTGCCCAATAGAACTCTGATGTGATTTGCAGTGTCGTAGCCTCACATAAGGACGCCTGCGTCAGGGCCTCCGAGTATAGCATATCCTGTGTATATGAATCGTCTGCAGTATTTTTGCGAATCAAGCACGAAATGACTCTTTGTTACAATTCAAGTCATCTGGACATTGTCGAGTTCATGAGTGAATGTTGGCGATGTCATTCGTGCGGGCTTAATTTCAGAGTGGTGTGATGGAGGAAACGTGAGAATGTACAACTGCGGATGGGCATGGATTGGTGGGATTGAAGCTGGAGCTGAATTGGATGGAGGAGCCTCATTTCTTGCTTAGGTTGATGTTGCAGGACCAGCCTACCTTCACTCGAAGGACATCATTCACGGCCGGTGCATAATCACTTCATCTACCATTACGATTTGTGACGCAGAGCAATGCTGTACGTAAAGTCTCCCGATGATGGGCCCCACTGTGAACGATAATACCTCGAGCGACAATGACCGAATCCTCAGTCAAGCATTCCACCAGCGCACGCGGTAAGGATCAAGTTCTGCAACGAGACGCATGAAGACACCGCTTGATGCACCGATAACTGCCACCCTGGCCCTACCGCGTGCGAATGTGCGGCAGGTACGAGACTATCGATATACAACCTACTGTCAATGTTTTTGATACTCTCCGACGATAGTCAAAACGGCAGCCGCGATGGCTAACCTCGTTAGGGACCTCGGACAAGCTTTCTAACCATCACGATGATGACGATAGGCAGTTTGTCGGGCGACACTGCACGCGGGCCTCTTGATAATTGAATCACTATCTATTGGCAGATCTACTAGAGCGAATAGACCGGGCATTGTTGTTGACGAAGTCATGTGAGGTTAATTTCATCTGCCGAGTACTGCACCCACAGGAGGTGGTGGTTCCTGACCGGGGCCAAACTCCGACACGGCAGAACCACACCATGATGATAGATTGACGCAGGATCTCACTTAACAGAACAGGATGCAGCGGCCCAGGGCAAGAAGAAAGCTGGAGCATGAGTGAATTTTCACAAGTCTCAGAGTTGATACGCAACGATGGGGCGCCCTTGCCGTCGACAGCTCATTTAGCGTCCCATGGGTTGTGTCCCCCGGTCCAGGAGGAAGGTAACTGAGAATCACTGCCGTGCGTTAGCAGTCCAACGCCACAGGCGGTCAGGGGCGGTAATCCACCCGGCACGTCGCCACCGGATTGAAGGAGCTCGGACCGGACAAGTTGAGCTTTGGGAGAGGCGTCGGGGCGCCCCTGCAACTTGGCACTGGACCACAAAGCGTCCAGTTACCTTTGTAGTTTGTCTCATTTTATTCCCTTTGTCTTTCACGTATCACTGTTGCCACTTACGCATGTATTTAAGGGCGAAGCTTGCAGATGCGGATACCCAACCAATAGGCGGTCTCCGACATCTCAGTGGGGCGCATTAACCCCCCTCCACTCCCCCTGTCCAACACCATTCTAAAGTCGGGTCCGGAATGATCGCCCCACAAAAGCAGCGCCCTGCAAGTGCAAGAAAACGTCTGAACACATGTGTTGTGTCGTCGCCAATTGCACCGGGAACTACCGATGCATTCATCGGTCGCGTCCTGCCCTGAAATATTTCAGACTTAAATACCTGCCGTTCCCTTCATATGTAGCCGTGACGTCCCTAGCATTGCACACTGCACTGGATCTACTGGAGTCCAAGAGGGAGACGCAGCCAGCCTGCTCTTTGTGGATTATACTTTACTTATTGTTGCTCTCCCTGTCATCGTCACTACTCTCTTGCTCGAATCTATTCCGTCTACTTATTACCGGTCATCCTACAGATGGTTCTGTCCAACGGGAGCTCACTATACTTCTTGCTCATCGTGCACCAAGACGTTTCAATGCGGAGCCCGAAGTAGGAGCATGGGCTGCTGAACAAGGTGCTCGATCCAAGTATGGCTTGGCTCATTCGGATGGTGCGACTTCCAAGCGCGCTGAAGGTTTGAATCTCCTTGTCAACATCGTGCGTACCGCTTATCTTTTGGTCCCATGTTAAGTCCTCCTCTGGCGCAATTAGGACCGAGATACATCATATTTTGGTTCGGTGGCGATTGATACTCCACCGGCTTTATACAATATTATTCTTGATACGTGAGCAATCCCGTACATGTTTTGTACATCTCATCATGTTTATTTCTTAGTGGAAGCAGTGACCTTTGACTAGCCGACTCGAAGTGTCAGACAGGTTGCGACGGTCTCTCAACGTTTTCATCCTCAACTCTTCTACATTGAAGAACCTTACGACCATTCGTTACATACGGATCGGGCGCTGCGGGGGGGCATCTTGTTCAGGACAGCGTTCAAATGGCTGGTTTCTCGAACCCTAAGCAGGTTTTTGGTGAGTGTTTTGTTATTGTTGCTATTTTCGCAGTGCTTGTTTTTGAGGGTTGAATCTCGCAATGTATTTTATGATGTTTGTTGCAGCTTCATGCAACCAAATGACGAAAGACTTGCTATTTAGTCCGATATCAGGACTGATGGGTCTTGCGTGGAAGTCACTTGCTGCGTCGGGAAGCACACCATTTTGGCAGGCGCTAGTGGCTGGTGGAAGCTGGACGAGTCCCCTTATGTCATTCGTCCTTACAAAGTTTATTGTTTCGTGAATGACACGGGATGTGTTGTGTTTTATTTCTGGATGACACCACGGCGCAGAGGCTTGAACCTTTCACTATGGTATATTTGAATTCATCGCTGTACACGGGTGATATCGAGTACCCGAATATAAATGAGGATCCGGCGTTATTGATCTCACTTGTGGGTCATCTCTCATTCATCCTCGACTGCCTTCGACTATAGTCCTTGTCATCTTTACTTGTTCGCTGATGATAATCATGCTTCGTGCATAGCGATAAAGGTGCAAAGAAATTCAGTCCTGAACGAAACTGTGTCGGCGGCTATCGACACTGGTACAACGCCACCAAGCGACATTGCGAATATTCAGCCAAATTCCGGGTTCCACCCGAGGATCGGACTCTTACCAAGGATACCGGATTTATCGTGCATTCCCGCACGATTTTATGGAATTGACGTTTCCTGTAGCATGCAGTATGCCCGTCAATGTGACATTTGCGTTTGGAGGTGGGAAGGATTGGTCGATGGCTCCCGCCGATTTCCAACTGCAGCAAATTTTGAACTCGGACTGTCTCGGCGCCTTTTTTGAGATCGATCCAACTGGATCGTCACCCCCTTGGATCATCAGCAATACGTATGTTTACACTCTACTTTACTTCATTTATGATGCGAGGCTGAAATGCTGATTTCGCCCTTCGACATGGGCGTTGCGTTCAACTCCGTAGAAGAACGTCATGTCTGTGTTCAAGTCTCCTTCGGTAGGCTTTGCGCAGCTCTCCTCGGCAGCCCGTGAACTCGGTAGCAATACGGTGCCCACACCCACGATTGGAACGTCTACTGTATCGCCCAGCGATACTGCTGGTGCTGCGGCTGCCCTCTTGGGGGGAAGCAGGTCCAAGTATTGGCCTACACTGGCTGCCGTTAGGGCTATCATCCCCGGTGGGATTAGCAACCTCACACTGTGCGCTCTGTGCTGCTGTGTTCTATCACGTATAAATGTCGTCCACCCTTACTCATGCTTGCGACCTGAGCGCTAGCCCATCCTCGTGCGCATGAAGTTTAATTTTCGTGTTGGCAGCGTGTCCACTCTTTAGCCACCCCCCTCATGTGTTACATTATAATGTAGCCTATTATATGCGGTATGAAGAGATATGGCCTTGGGGTGTAGACAGATGTACCTGCAATGCAGTGGACATTGCCGTTTTCCTGCGATCGCGGGTTATGCAGGAGTGTTACAGGGAGCATGGAATAAGAACCAAAGTGTGCCCATAATGGGTTGCGATTTAATGGAGGTGCGAGATTAAGTTAGACTTAGGCTGTGTGCCAGGAGCCCTGGCACTTATGTGTTTGCCTTTTGCTGAACGCTTTGACGTGATGTGTTTCACTCTCTGTGCCGTACCCGCTGTTGGCCTGTTCACATTACTGATACGCCGCGCTCATGCTGATTTAGTGATCGTCTGCTGTCGCGGATCTTCTCGGGCTGATCACGTAGGTTTTTCCTGCCTGCTGTCTTCGCATGTCCACCTCTTTTTGTTCTTCGTTACTTGATGTCCTGGTTAGCACGGCGGTGCATGAAGGTGAGACCTTCCGTTACGTGGGCTCCCGGGATGTTCTTCGCCATTGGCCATTCGGGTCATTCCTGTAACCATAGTACCAGGGCTCTCGGGCGCGATCAGATCAAGAACCCAACACCAGCTTTCTATACCTCTGTGGGACTACAGAGGGCTGGGCTTCCTTTTCTTCTCGGCCCTCTATATAGGGGCATGCATTCGAGAATTAGGTCGGAATTCCTTGACCCGTGCTCTGTTCACACCGCCACGTACAACCGCCCCCCAGTAGCTTCAGCAGTTCTCCAGAAGTCCCGATGCGATTCTGGAGTGTCTTTGCCTTCACAATCTCTCTACTTCCCAAAGCTGCAGCTGATTTCCACGTTGGCTCAGCCCGTTGCACGCTGTCCCTGCCAAACACTGCGGCTCAGGAAGCCGAGTTTGGGGTCATCATCCCGTGGAACCTAGGTGAGTCGAGATCTGAAATGAATTTTGTTCTTGGTAAACCGATGTGTTTCCAATAGACGGTTGTGTAGGTGCAACGGCCTCGTACTTTGGTCAGGGCGTGCAACCTGGACCTGGAATGACTATGACGGCTTGCGGTGCTTGGATTACGGTTCTCAACAACCAAACATGGCGCAGCTCGGATGGGGAAACCGGGCTTTGTTATCCGGCCGCGGTCATCACGGCGTGCTCGAATAAACCCTACGAAAATTGTATATATTCCGATTGGGTGTGGTGTGCGTCGAGCTTGTGCAACTAGAAAGGGAAGTTGGCCTCAGGATCTGGGGCAGTTGGCATGTTGCAACTCAAGTAGGAATTACAGTGTGTGCTACAGCCGATTCCAAAAAAAATTGCCGTTTGGATCTCATCAAGAGAGATCGAGGGAACCCCTTCTTTGCCGAATCTGGCAGCATTTTGAGCTTTTTTAAGGAAGTCGGCGGACCCAATGGTACCGTGAACCTCCTGAAAATAGAATAAAATAAAATAAATAAATGTGGCACTCCCAGTTGAGCGGCCTTCACATAGACCCGCAGATAATACAGATAGATCGCCCTGAGCACAGACGCGAACCGAACACATGGATTAAATATACATCAATCTGTGTCTTCATTGCCATACATGACAGCTGGAGAATCGGGGGATGCACATCAGCAAAAGTCCGTTATGCTCCGGAGCATCAAGAGTGGCTGGAGCATGTGGGAGACAAAACAGCAGATTGGGCACTCCTGGAGCCAATAGTGTTCTCCTGGGAGGGGGTTCAGGAGCAGCTGGGAGTGGTGAGGAGTATGTAATGTGCCAGGAGCAGTGGGAGGAAAATTTTGGTCTCTAAAAAGTTGAAAAAAAAAATTTAGGGAAAAATCAAAAAAAATTCAGGAACTATAGTGCCTTTAAAGTGCTTTCAGGACATATAATTATTTGCAAAATTGAGGAAGAAATGATGGAGAAAAATGGAAAATACTTTGGAGACCCAAGAAATAATGAGAACTGAATTGATGGGAAAGTCTGAAAATTGAATAGGAAAGTGAGGGGAAGCCTTGTAAGCATTGTTATTTTCTGCTGTTCTGATTTTTCCTGATTGTTCTTGGTCTCACTCCCAGCTGCTCCTGGACCCTCCCAGGAGCTTTCAGGAGCTTCCAGGAGTATTGAGGAGCAGCTGGGAATGAGACCAAGAAGAATCGGGAAAAATCAGAACAGCAGAAAATAACAATGCTACAAGGCTTCCCCTCACTTTCCTATTCAATTTTCAGACTTTCCCATCAATTCAGTTCTTGGGTCTCCAAAAGTATTTTCCATTAGCTGCTCCTGGACCCTCCCAGGAGCTTCCAGGAGTATCCAGGAGTATTGTTAGACACTGGTCCAGGGTCGGCACCAAAGGTCGCCGATGCGGGCCGCTATTGGCCGCAATGGCCGCGATGCCTCAGACAAGGCCCGGGGGTAGGGCATTTGGCCTCAGCAACTCTAAAGGGAGTGCTGTGCCCCCTAGCTGTCTCTTGGCCCTCATTTCGGACTCACTGGGGTTGCCTTGTTGGGGTCAGGACTTAGGGGTCGTGGTCACATCGATATTAGAGCTAAGGTACTATAATGTAGTATACAGGATATATATATGAAGGTGGAATGAATAGAAGCGGACCCGGGCCGAAGGCCGAAGGGTCCGGAAGCAAATAGGAACAAAGAGCGGGGTTGGCCGCACCGCGGCTGGCAATGACCGAGGGTCAAAACAAACAATAACAGATAAATAACGAAGGGGTGTAGGGCCGCGATAGCGGCGATGGTGTCAATAGCGGAGTAGGCGATGTCGCGGAGTCACGCTAGGTCGGTACCAGAGGCGGACTCGGGGCAGGGAGGTCGGTGTGGCTGTGGGGGAGTCGGCCAAGTGTAGGGGAGCCTAGGGGCAAGTGGGGGAGTGAGCAGGGAGCCCTCAGGGAGGATAGGGCTGAGGTCGGGGCTCGCGCTCGCACTTGCACAGCGGGAATAGGCTCGGGTGGCATCGGGACGGGCGGCTAACGGGCCGGAATGCATGGTCGTGACAAGTATCCAGTAGCAGCTGGGAGTGAGACCAAGAACAATCAGGAGAAATTAGAACAGCAGAAAATAACAATGCTACAAGTCTTCCCCTCACTTCCCTATTCAATTTTCAGACTTTCCCATCAATTCAGTTCTCATTATTTCTTGGGTCTCCGAAAGTATTTTCCATTTTTCTCCATCATTTCTTCCTCGATTTTGCAAATAATTATATATCCTGAAAGCACTTCAAAGGCACTACAGTTCCTGATTTTTTTTTGATTTTTTCCCTAATTATTTTTTTCAACTTTTTAGAAGTCCCTATTTTTCAAATTTTCCTCATTTCCCTCTATATCCCCCCCTCATTCCCCCCTCATTCCCCCCCTCATTCCCCCCCTCATTCTCCCCCATTTCCCCCTCCCCCATATTCTGCCAGCCCAAAAGTGATTAAGTTGCCAGATTAATCATATATCAGGCCATAAATTTTGATTGTGTATTGGTGAGTCTCAGTGCCCTTGATATATAGTATAGTGTTTGATCTAAATGTTAAGCAGTGTCTTGTTGTGTTAGTCTTGTGGTAGGAGGTATTCATGGGGGATCTTCCCTCTTTTTTTCCTTTTCATTTTCAAATGCTCCAGGAGCTCCCAGAAGCTTCTCACCCTTATACACTTTGAAGCATTTAAATTGTATTTACTGGATATGTTTGTGCACAAAGCAATGCTCCAGGCCCTCCTGGGAGTGCCCTGGAGTACCTAGCCAACTCTGGAGGAAATGGGCTGTTCCTGGACCGGCCAATCTCCTCCTGATTCTCCCAGTGCTCTCGATACTCCAGAGCACTCAGGAGCATAACAATTTTTTGCTGATGCAGGGGACATTAGTGACAGGAGCGAGGCAAATTTGGTGTCTGAACCGTCATGGATTGAGAGGAAATGCGTGTCAGCAAATGACAGAATCAGAGACCTTGTACTCCTCTCATGTGATTACCTTGCTTGCAAGGTCACTTCCAAACCCACAATTGCGTGGGAAAAATGTGTTTATATTACATTTACTTCTCATGTGATTCCCAATAGCATGTGACCATTCAACAAAATTATGTATCATTGTATTTGTGCAGCTGCCTGGACTTTTGGCCAGCAGTCTTTGATGGAGTGTTCAAGTGACAACTGTTGGGCCACTGATGGTTCAGCTCTTTGTGCCCTTCAATTTCTTGTGCAGTGGTGGGTCCTCTGTCATTATTGCTTTGGATCACTGGGTGTGATGGTTCAGGCCTCCATGGTGAGGTAATGGCTCTTATTATGGCAGCTGTCTTGTCACACCCCACTCCCACTGCTGTTGCGGTTTTCTCCGACCACCTGCACTTGATCTGTTGAATACAAGATATTCATGCAGGCACTTTGCCTCCAAATTTTTGGTCATACAAGCCTGCTCAACCTTGGTATCGGTGGTTGGAACAAATTGTGGCAAACAACCAGAATTTCTCCATCTATCATGTGAAGGCTCATACTCAGGAGCTTGATGTCGCTTCGAGGTTGAACAATGCTGCTGATTGCTTGGCAGCTCAAGCTCATTTCGACCCATTGCAGTCACCACTGGCTCTCTACCTTCATTTTCGATGGATGACTTTGTGGTGTGGCATCCAGGTCATGGCTACGTTGATTCAAACCTGCTCTCTTATTTCTCATCTTGGTTTGTGTCAATGTCCCACCATGCATTGTCTGCGACACCCGAGTTTTGCCTGCCCAATCCCAACTTCCCAACTTCCCATCATGCCCACCATTCCCATATGTGAGATCCAATGCTGGCTACTCTGCTGCTGTCCAGTTGTACCTTCGATCTGATCAGTTGCCCTCTAATTCATTGATGTTTTTCAGGGGACTGAGTCGAAGTGGGCAGTGTTGGAATGGTTGTAATTGTTTGGAATCTCCTCATCATTTGTTCTGTGACTGCCCTATTTTCAAGGCCTATCAAGTGTCCACTTTGGCTGACATCACATGTTCATCACAGGAGGACATCCCTTTACTTGTTCGTGGCAGGGTGTGTCAGGCAATTCCTTCACTCCTATCTGACAATTCCGCTTTATCCTGGCCCCATGGGTGGAATAGATGGTTTTTGGGCCATACTCCATTATTAAAGCGGGATTTCCCATCACTTCCAGATAGGGTGGTGATTGCTTTGTCTCATATCTGGCACATTGCATTTATCCATTTGGCTGGTCATATATGGGGGCATGTTCAGAGGGCAGCTGGTGGTGGTTTGGTTCATCACCGGTTTTGATCATCGAGTTGTTTCTTGGTGTTTTGGTTAAGATTTGATTGGTCAATGAGGTCTAGCTTTTCAGTTATGACCTTAGCTGTATTGTAGTGGAGTTGTCCAAATTTATTGTTATATTATATCATTGTGTTATGGTCATCCCCCCTTGCCATCATCGTACCTGAAGTTCTCAGGTGTTTAGTGCATCGGTATAACTCAGTTAAGTATTAACCCATGCCCAATGCCCTCATTGCTTCCCAAGTAGTATTTGCCAGCATGTTCAACTTTTCGAAGCATATGTACTTGAGTCCGCTGTCATATCCATCCATGGCCATCATCTTCCACTACCTCCGGTCCTTCTTCACTAACCTCGGAGCCCCTGTATTCTGCAATCGCCTCCGCCTCCCTCAATGGTCACCACCCCCTCTTTTCAATATATTACCTATGTGTCAGAGACCAGGTCAAGATGAAGGAAGGTCTCTGTGGCGGAGGGCTTCAGCCTCAGCGACTTATGCCAGGAGCGCTGTGCCAAGTAACACGTCTGTGCCCTAACTTACTAACTGGCAACCAGAACTAAAAGGGGGTAAACTCTAGTCGATTTTATTACAGAGGTGTAACCTATGTACAAGTTGAGTATATATAGTTACAATGAGGGTGGGCCTGTAAATGGCGGGGCCAAGCGGAGCAGAGCTAATGGAGTTAAACATTAGCTGATTGAATATTACCGACAAACTGGGTTACGGGTTTAGCGGAATGGTAGGTGATAACCCAGAAACGGAAAGGAGGGATAGGCCCAAAGGTGGGCTTGCAGGGCAAGTGAATGTATTGCCCAGCGGAGGTGGGAGTGCGCTAGCGGATGTTGGAGCTGTCTGGAAGCCTTCGGGGCTCCGTACTTAGGGAGGTGTAGGTAATAAATTGAAAAGAGGGGGTGGTGACCATCAAGGGATACCAAGGTGATAGCGGAATATGGGAGCTCCAAGGTTAGTGGAGAAGGAGCAGAGGTAGTCCAGAGAGATCGGAGGTAGTGGAAGTCAATGGCCATGGATGGATATGACAGTATCCCCTTCTTAGGCCTGAACCCTTGAAGGCCCAGAATTAGTAAGGTGAGGGGAGCTGTACTTACAGAAAAGAAAAAAGAAGACGGAAGTGAGGAGTGGAGAGAAAGGGAGAGATGGGAGAGGAGTCAGGGTTCCTAAGGAGCTTCGGGTCCAGGCTTGTCTGGATACCGAGTGTTATGGATACGGAGTCTCCAACGACCATATCTGTCGCATAGTCAAAGACTTCTCCTCTCTATCGCTCCCCCTCTTTCTCCCTTTCACCCTCTATCCCAATACCCTACCCTCCTTACTCGTTCTACCCCTTCCCCCCCCTCGTGCAAAGCTTTCCCCATTGGGGTTTTGGTGCTGGCCGAGGTTACTTGTGTTTTGCGGGATTTCCCGCAACCTTACCATTTGTAGATAGTCACATGTCTTGTATGGAAACCACTGAAGGCGGTTCCCGCTAACTAACAACTACTCTCTACAACTGTCTTGTGTGTCGTCTTCTGTAACAACCCTTCCTGTGACTCAACTGAACCTGTGTGACTGTACAACTCACAACATGTCTTATAAGTCTGGTTATGTCGAGTCCTCTAACGGTCCTCGCCGTGAGAACTCGAGGTCGCGAGTCGAAGACTCTTGACATGTGTATCATCCTATGGAATCTGTACCCTACAGGACTTCGTCGCTCCACTCTCCCCCCAATGCTCGACAGACGATGTCACATCACGATCTTGGAGATTGTGAATACTCTGAGGTCCACTTTCCCATGATGCCGGCACGTTCGCTATGCGAACACCAAGTAGCCGTCCATCCACCGTCTGTTCCCTCCTTCGTCAGTCATCATATTCCCCCACCAACGGTATGTTCCCTTTGGGAACGCCAAGTCACTGAAGGCCCTGTTAGTCAATCCTCATTGCACGCTCATGATATCAACCTGCTACCGGTATGTTCGCGCTGCAAACGCCAAGTACCCGATGGCAGTTATACAAAGTTCTCACCCACCTCACGAGTCGCAACCTCGCACATGGTACGCTCCATTGAGGAGTGCCAAGTACCCGTGGCTGACCCATCCATCCTGACGTCTCTGACTACCTACCATCAATCCCTTAATAGCTCACTACATCACCAATCATGATCGATGGGAATTCGATCGTCCACTCCCATGCAAGACTGGGATCATTCATCGATTACATATCCCATTATGGTACAGACTAGATACGACATTCATCATCCCGCTATAAGAACAGATCGAGGAATGGGGATTTCCCCCCATCCCCGTAACACCGAGAGTGGAACGCTTCAACGAGGTCAGAGGCGTGATCGAGTTCGCTGGCAAGGAGCCATTGTGTCTCCTCATCGGTCCCTTCATAGCCTAGCCACTTGACCAGGTAGAGCAACTTGTTGAGTCTATGTCAGTTGATCTTGGAGTCAAGTATCTCTTTGATCTTGAACTTGAACTCGCCTTCGATTTCTATGGGAGGCGGAGGTGGCTGGTGGTGGTTTGGAATGATGTTCGGGACAGAGGGTTCGATCTGCGAGACATGGAATACTGGGTGAATGGCTTGCATGTTTTCCAGCAGGCAGAGGGTGAGGGAGTGGGTTCCGATGCAGGCAATGATCTTGAATGGGCCGAGGTTTTTCTCAGAGAGCTTTTTGGAAGGTCAGGTGGAGCGGAAATACTTGGCCTTTACATAGACCGAAGTTCCTACCTTGAAAGCTGGGGCAGGAGTCTGACAGGAGTCTGCCAGGCCCTGATAACGGATCTGAGCGAGGTGCATTTCCTTGCGAAGGAAGTGATGGAGGGAGTCGAGATCTACAGAGTACTCTTGGGTGTGTACTGATGTTAGGTCTCGCTCCAGGTGAACAGTGATGTTCAGATGGTAGCCTTTGTTGGCGAAGGACAGAGAGACGCCTGTGGTGGCATTCGGAGCGTTGTTGTATGCAACTCCGCGAGAGGTTGGAGTTCGGACCGATTGTCCTGCTGGTAGTTACTGTAGATGCACAGGTACTGCTTGAGCGTCTGGTTCATCCGTTTGGTCTGACCGTCTCCTTCCAGATGATAACCGGAGGTGAAGTGGAGGCAGATGTCGAGGGCCTTACCAAGTGAACGGAAAAAATGAGAGACAAACTCCGGACCCCTGTCGGAGGTGACATGGGAAGGAACTCCGTGCTTGGAGAACACATGGAGGAGGAAGAGCTTGGCCAGTTCCGGAGAGGTGATGGTATCGTGGGTAGGAATGAAAATGCACTGTTTGGACAGGTGGTCCACGACAACCAAGATGGAAGTGAATCCGGAAGAGGAGGGTAGCTGTTCGATGAAATCCATGGAGATGGAGTTCCAAGGACGTTCGGGGATGGGGAGTTGTTTGAGCAAGCCGTAAGGCTTATGACGGGGGACTTTGGCATGGGCACAAGAAGTGCAGGAGGAAACGTAGCTCTTGATGAAGCTACGGATGCCCGGCCAGGTATACTCACGACGTACTAAATCCAGAGTCCGGTTTTGACCGAAGTGTCCAGAAAGTTGGTGGTCGTGTTTGTCTTGCAAAATGCGGAGACAGAGATCGTTTGAATCTGGAACGTAAATGCGGTTGTCCAGCCTTAACAGGCCTTCAGCATCAACGGACCAGCAGGAATTGGGGAGGTTGGGGGAAGCGAGATGAGGAGAGATTGTGGTATTGGAGGAGAGGGAGGCTAGAATGTCTCGATGGAGAGCCTCTGTCGACGAGTACAGCTGCTCGGATTACTGTGGCAGCTAGGAACGTGGCTCGTAGGGACACAGTGAGCTGCTCTGAAGTGAAGACTGGTCGGAAGTTCTGCAGATTGACGCGAGCATAGTCCATATCCCCTTCTTTGGGATAGATGTCCCAGCGTCTAGTCAACGCATCTGGTTTTACTCTGAGTCTTCCGGGATGAAATCGGACAGTCATGTGGAACTGGGAGAGGAACTCTGACCAGCGGGCTTGCCGCTGGGTCAAGAGTTTGGTGGTGGAAAAATACTCGAGGTTCTTGTGGTTGGTGACGACGTTGATTGGAGTTCCTGAACCTTCAAGGTAGTGACACCACGATTGGAACGCATCATGGATGGCGAGCAGTTCCTTATCATGGGTGTCATAATTGAGCTCCGGTGCCGAGAGTGTTCTAGAGCGGACAGTGATGGGGCGAATCTCTCCGTCATCACAACAGATGGACAGGATTCCAGAGATCGTGTATTCAGAGGCATCGGTTTCTACAATGAGGGGGGCATCGGGTACCCAATGTGTCAGGATGGGAGCAGAAGTGAAGGCTTCTTTCAAGGTGTTGAAAGCAGAGCGACAGTCATCAGAGAATAACCAGGGGGCTCCTTTACATGTAAGGCACGCCAAGGGGACCACAATGTCGGAGTATTGGTGGATGAAACGCCAATAGAAGTTAGCGAAGCCAAGGAAGGACTGGACATCCTTGACTTTACGGGGCTCGGGCCAATCTTGGACAGCTTTAACCTTCTTGATGGACATGGTGAGTCTGGAGGGAGAAAGGCAGTATCTGAGATATTCTGTAGTGTCCGTCTGAAATTCGCATTTCTTCGGATTGGCATATAGGCCGTGTTTGCGGAGTCTCCTAAGAACTTCTTGGACATGCTCCTGATGTGAAGCCATGTCTTCCGAGTAGGTAAGGATGTTGTCTAGGTAGACTACCACAGAAATGTCCAAGAGGTCGGCAAAGATTGTGTTAATGAATCGCTGGAAGGCCACAGGTGCATTCGTGAGACTGAATGGCATGACAAGCCACTTGTAGGAACCATAGCGCATGTGGAAAGAAGTCTTCCATTCATCGCCTGCTGCAATGCAAACCAGGTGGTAGGCATGCCGGAGGTCGAGTCTGGTATAGACTGTGGCATGGCTAGGTGCATCAAGGAGGTCTGAGATGTGGGGGAGTGGGTAGCGATCCTTTTTGGTGATCTTGTTCAGCCCTTGGAAGTCGACGCAAAGACGGAGGGATCCGTCC